GACTTCCATAGCCATCTGAGTAAGAGATATCTCTGTGACAGTGGTTCTTATGCCTTTTTTGATAGACCAGTTATCAATCCAGGTTTGACAAGATAAGGCACACTGACTGGCTAGAATCCTACCATGGATTTACTCTTTTATAAGGGAATTCACATACACTCAGGCAGCAAATTGCTGCTCATTAGTGAGATGCTAGATGCATTCATGGGAATGAATCCAATTGTGCTTGGCCCTGTCTAGCATTCTTAGATGCAACTTTTCACTCATTTTAGCCTCAGCTGTCCCTTGCTCTGATAATTTGTCTGTGGCAACATTCAAAAAGACTAAAGATATAAATATTCTTAAATATAGGTATCCCCAAATAATAGGCCCTTTCTAAAGGAAATCACTGAGTGCTCGCTGGAGTGCTCTCTGGAAGGACAGATCCTGAAGCTGAGGCTCCAATACTTTGGCCATCTCATGAGAAGAGAAGACTCCCTGGAAAAAACCTTGATGTTGGGAAAGTGTGAAGGCAAGAGGAGAAGGGGATGACAGAAGATGAGATGGTTGGACAGTGTCACCGAAGCAACCAACATGAATGTGACCCAACTCCGGGAGGCAGTGGAAGATAGGAAGGCCTGGCGTGCTCTGGTCCATGGGGTCACGAAGAGTCAGACACAATTTAATGACTAAACAACAACAACAAATTAATTATATCTGTACTAAGCCATTAAAGTGACTCGCGTTTGATCCTTTCTAATTAATGCTAATGAAAATATCGTTGAGGAATTCTGAGAATGCCACCATATCTCATTTTTTTCATTCTTAGATTTAAACCTTTCGAATTCAAGCAATGAAGTGATGGTTCCTGAAGAAATAAGCAACCCTACAAATGAAACTGACATGCCTGGTAAATCAGCTTGTGTCAAGGTACCTTGTGGTAGGAATAAGAAAGGAATGAAAGGAATGTACAAGAATGAGTCTGGAGTTTGTTTTCTAGATAGTTTAGGTTTAGAGGGATATTGAGCAAGCATAAATAGGATTACAGCCTTTGTTATGTACAGCCTTAGCCAAATGTTAGACAGCTTTAAGTTTTCACTAAAGAATTTTGTAATTTGCACCTTTTCTCTGTTCTGTAATACCAGCTGACACTTGTGGAGTAGCATCAAATCAGCCCAGGTTTCTCTTCACTCGAATAGTTGGAGGCGAGGAAGCAGTACCACATTCTTGGCCTTGGCAGGCCAGCATACAAATTTTGGGTGAGAACCTCTGTGGAGGTACAGTTCTTACAAGCACATGGGTCATCACTGCTGCTCACTGTTTTAAGGAAAAGTAAGTATAACATCAGCCTTATTTCTTTGGACTGATGGCCACACAGAGTCTATTTGACTTGGAAAAACATTTGGAAATGTGTCATTCACTAAGTATATCTGCTTATGATTTTTGAAGCCTTACTGGCTGAACCAAAATTTGTTTCTGTATGTATCTCTAAAGAAATGTTCCCCGATCTGCCTTCAGAACAGGGTTTAGCAATGATGTTTTGTTTAGCAATGGTAACAAAAAGGAGTCAAACTGTATCTGAGTTACTCCCAGGGGAAAGAAACAAATATTAAAAGAAACACCAGAGGTGGCAGTGGCAGGTGGCTGTGAGAGGCAGCCGGCATGAGGGTGTCTGGGCAGGACAAAAACTCAAATGTAAGAAGTTTGTGGTGTCAGGCCCCCTCACATTGGCTGCCTCTCAGTTTAAACACAGCTTAAAAATAGATTAAAAATGGTTCCACACCAACCCCAAAACCATACGACTACCATGTGAGTTTAAAGTGATTTCAAAAACCTTGACCCATTGCCTAGTTTATTCCAGTGTAACTGTGACCTCATTTAAGCATAAAGTCATACATTTTAACTTAGAAAATGAGAATTGATTCTTTGCTGACAGCTTGTGGCCTTCCACTGATACTGCATGCAATGTGAGCCCTGAGAACCATTCATACTCTTTTGTTGTATATTGGTGGATGACTTTTGTAATATTTGGCCTGCATTTTCTTCTAAGCTCAAAGTTCTATATTTATTCTTTATGGAATATAGCCTACATAAAGCCTATCCTTGCCAAGCCCAAGTGCATTTCATGGTCACTGCCAAACATTCTGAGCATGATGATTAAGAAAAACCTGAACCATAGCTTCATGATTTAAATTGTTTTTTTGTTGATCACACAGTTCTTAGTCATACTGAAATCAACTGGTATCAGTTACACTGAGCTCTTTGTATATGCTATATTTTGTACAAGTTACATTGAGCCCTTCCAGTAAAACCTTCTCAGAAGTAAGCCCTACATTTTTTGAAATTCAAAAAGCCAACTGTGCATAAAAGGAAGAGAGATTCTGATGTTTGAATATACATATTTATATTAACTGTTTAAAGCTGTCTTGAGATTTCTTCCATTATATTTTTTTTATAGGGAACGATACAAGGATCTTTGGAGAGTAGTGGTTGGTGCCCATGACATACAAGACCAAGAACAAAACAGTCAGGTTAATACAAGCTGTTTTTGGATTATGAAAAAAATGTCTTAGAAATTCTCAGTATATTGCTGAGAAGGAATGACTGGAAAGATCTGCCTCTCCATCCTTTCTGATATCTAAACTAATGAGCTATCCAGCCAGCTTCCTAACAGTAAACACATGTTAATTTTTAAATCCCAGTGTTCACAGATCTAGATTTGCTTGGTTTCTAGTTTGCTGAAGATTTTGGTCTTTAACAAGAGTTATCTTACAGTTAAGTGTGCACTTTTTCTGGGAATTCTGCTTAGGAAGGAACTGTTGTGACCACTAGACTGATATTTCAAGAAAACGTCTAAAGCAAGTTCTTTTGGCATTACTATTTTATTCAGAGCTTGGAAATGACATGTGAAAATTAATGCATTGTTACTTTTCCCATTTAATGGGGGGCATTACTTTACCTAATTTTTTATAACTCTTTATAATTGCTGCTTTAAAGGTAGCAGCAATATATTTCCTCTGTGCTGCTTATGCTACAGTTTTCCTTTCTGGAAAGAAGGTACCCATACATCTCCCAATGAGAAATAACTCTATGCAAGAGATTCCTAACCTTGCTTCATCAGGGGTTTTCCACCAGACCTGGAAGCAGGATTTGGTCACTGTGACCTGTATAGCTCAGGGGAGACTAAGGCTGGGGACTGGGAGCTGTGCAGCCTTTTACTAAAATCGAGCTTCTAAGGAAACCTCCTATATTATTTTCTTAAAGAAGTGCATGTGAAAGTGGTCAAATAAATTGTTCACTCTATGTAGACATCTAAAACAGACTGTTGAAACCAATATGGCTTGCTAAGGAGTGTATTATGAGAAGTGCAGTCCATTTCAAAAGAACGCCAGATTCACCAGAGCAGTCCTAAAACAACAAAAAGAACACATATGAAGGAGACAGTTACAAATGTACAAATGGGGTCAAAAATGAAGGAACCCTATAGATCCCAGTGTTTATGTCATAGCTGAGAGTAACAAACAGATTGTACTGTCAATTCAATGAGTTAAACATTTCCATTTTTCAAGTTAATGATAATATTAATCATCTGCTATCAAGTCAATCTGATTTATGATGAGGGCGCCCTAGGACTATGTAGCTTGCCCAAGGCCAACTACAGGCTGGTTTTATTTGCAGGAGTCACAGTGCAGAATTGAACTCCTAACCACAGTGGGGAATAGAACTCCCAACCGCAGGCAGATACCTAAACTAATGAGCTATCCAGCCAGCTTCCTAACAGTAAACACATGTTAATTTTTAAATCCCAGTGTTCACAGATCTAGATTTGCTTGGTTTCTAGTTTGCTGAACTTTAGCAAGAGTTATCTTACAGTTAAGTGTGCACTTCTGCAAAGATTTTAACAATGAACAGCCCAAGAAACCTCTTCCGTTTGTTCTGATGAAAGAGGACACTTCTCTCCTTTTTTTTCTCCGTCATCTCTTATTTCATTAAGGAGGAATTTACCAAACAGCTGAGAATCAATTGGAGCAAGATTTGCAGGGAATCTCAGGGGACACTGTATAAAGAGCAAGATGGGAATATGAATCAAGTTCTGTAATTAATCCCTGAATGGGACAAGTTTGCTATCTTCTCTCTCTCTCTCTCTCTCTTTCTCTCTCTCAGTCTTTTGTTTGATTACAAACTGTCTGTGGGCAGAAGGAAGAGGAGGAGGAAAAGGAAAAGAAAAAGAAGGTGGTGGTGTTTGCTATATTACAAACTGTCTGTTGGCAGCAGTAACGGCCTTGAGCCCCCCTTACTCTTAAGCACCAGAAGGAAGAGGAGGAGGAAAAGAAAAAGAAAAAGAAGGTGGTGGTGTTTGCTATGGCCATGATGGCAAATTCCATTCCATTCAAAAGGTTGATTGTTTTGTATAGAAGTAAAAGTTTTATCATCAAAACAACCATCTTACTACCACCACTTGAGGATTTTCCACCTGTTAATCTGAAACCTCTGCTATACCAATGGAAATTTTGTTCCTGCTAGGAAAGCTCTTAGCTCTAATCACATGGAAACTGACCTCATCCAGACACAATGTGTTCCATTATCTTTTAATATAACAATAACAGCTTTTATCATTCTCACAATGGTAAGTAAATAATCAAGCAAGAACATAGGAAAGCTTATAATTGTTTCTCCTATCATGCCCCAACTTTCAACTTTTCTAACTACTCACCAAGGATGGCTCATGTGCTGAACAGGGTGTATATGTGTCTCATCTCAAAATTTTGGGGTGGGGTGGGGTGGGGGTGGGGCTGCTCTGGCCATAAGGTACCTCTGCTGCTCACTGTGAACTGCTTTTGGGATCTCAGTGTCCAATGCCACCTCAACAAAGAAGTCCAATTATAATAATATTTACCTATCACCTGTCAATTAAATGCTATTTGTTCATCTCCTTTTACAATCACTTCATATTTCTTACTTTCATATCACTTCATATTTCTAAGCCTACTATATAATACTGTAATCTATGATAAAATGACCCTTGCCTTTAGACCTCATGCTGTCAGTATCCTTAGCCAGCCAATGGGATATGTCAACATTGCATACCGTTGTCATATTATATCCTGAAGTACAGATGGACAGCTGTAGCTCTTCAGATATTTTTAGACTTCAGCTCCCATTACCAATTGGCTATGCTGGCTAGGAGCAATGAGGACCATAGGCCACAAACAGCTGGAAGATCACAGTTGGTAACTCTTGCCCTAAAGGAAATATGCAAGCCTCAGGTCATGGTGGGTATGGGTCACAATGAAGTTCAAAGAAGCAGCCATGTTATTCTGTTTCAGCATGTATAATAAGAACAAAAGCTGAAAGTGTTGTAGTACTTGAAGACTAATAGGTTTATCTTGGTTTGAGCTTTTGTAGAAATTACATCAATGCAGACAACCACATGACTTCAGGAAATCATGTAACAGCATCCATCAGTTGTGCTTGCTATGTAAACAATTTTGCAGATCTAACTGGGACAGTGCATTGCTTGCATAGAAAACCCCTATCTCCTTTTCCCTTTGACCTGCTTCCTGCATGTTTGCTAGCACTGAGGAGATGTCTGTTACAATTTGAGCCCAATATATTTTGCCACTGTATAACTAGGAGCTGTCGGAATTAAGATTGCCTGAAGAAATATCAACAACCTCCGATATGCGTATAACTAGGAGCTGTCCTGATTCAAATTATTTGAGGATAGCTAGGGTGAAAGGATAATTGATTTCTCTTACATAAGACCAATGCAGATGAAAAATGCTACAATGAGTTTATAGATATGGATCTCTGCAAGTACCTGAAGTTTAGATTTTCTTCAGGCATGATAGCAAGGACTGTGATGACTAATAGCAGTGCCTACAATTCAGAATTTATTGCTATGGCAATGGCTATGTAGAAGTGGTCTTCTTATACATGATGGTCAACCACAGTATAGGCTGGGTGAATCAGGTTGAAAGGAACTATATTCATTTTCTCATACAACATGCTGCACTTATGCTTGCCTCTTTTTAGAAAAGATCAGTGAAGCAGTACATTCCACATCCAGATTTTAATGCCACTACAACAGATTCAGACATTGCATTGGTGCAACTGACAGAACCTTTAGAATTCAATCATTATGTTCGTCCTGTGTGTCTACCTAAGAGAAATGAAACAGTTGAACCTTCAACAGTGTGTGTCATTACTGGATGGGGCATTCAGTTTGAAGGTGAGCATATTTTCCTTTCAACAGCAATGTTGCAGTTATCCCTTACCCTGAATAATTTGCAGCCTCTTCTTGAAAGTGTCTGTCAATAAAATGGGAGCTCCTAGTATAAAACTTACCCTGAATAATTTGTAGCCACTTCTTGAAAGTGTCAATAAAATGGGAGCTCCTAGTATAAATCATACAGGCTCCACTCTTATTGCCCTTTTGTGCAAGTGCAACACAAATCACATAACTTTTGGCACTAAATTCTTGAAAGTGAATACAGTATGTCAATGTAAGCATATTTTAGTACACACCGACTTTAATGCATACACAACTCAGTGTGCAACAGATTGTCTCTACACTTGCTTCTTAATTGGTGGCAAGTCATCTTGATTGTGTAAGACAGCACTTGGGAACCCTTCCCCCCTCTTTCAGGCACCACAGTTTTTGGCCCTGATCTGCTGGGAGGTTGCACGGTGGCAGAGGCTTAGGCAAAAAGCAGCTGTAAGTTGATTTGGTGCCAAAAGTGGGGCACCCCTTCTCTTCTTTCTTGCTCTCCCCTCTTCTTCTATCCTTTCTGAGGCACAGGGGAAGAACAGTTTATTTGTTTATGACTGTTTCTAAGCCACTTGGATCTCAAGATGCTGAAGCAGTTTACAACAAAACGTACGTGTTATTAAGAGAATAGTTTTTGCAGTATATAATATATGATATGAAAAATCACAATGTATATTTACATGTATATGAAATTGAAGGTAGCTTGGACTTCACAGACAAGACTTGCATGAATAGGCAAGTTTTCAGAAGGCATCCATCATTAATAATTGTTTGACCACACTGAATTTCAGAGGAAAATGTAAACTAGGCTAAAGGTCATACAAAGTCAGGTGAAGAGTGAGGATGCAAATATTCACTTATTTCATTCCCCCAGGTGGTATTAAAAATTTCAAAAAGTTCTTTCCACTCCCTTGCATTTTTCACATTTCTGCACTTTTCTGTGACAAAGTCATGGAAACGGTTTTTGTGCAAAAAGAGTATTTTGCCAGGTTTTATGTAAAATACAGTTTTTAATGCAAAATTTTGCAATTATTCACTACATTCTTGGTAAGAACTGCAGGTTGCCTTCCCATGGTTTAAGACAGTGCTCCCCAACCTTTTTCGGTCCATGGAGCAGCTGGGGAAGGCGGGGCACCCCTCTACTCATACGCATGCATGAACAGTGGTGTGGCACTTGTGTGGGTGCGCACTCATGCGCATGTGCAAAAGGCAGCACCGCCATTTGCGCATGCACATGAGAGAGAGCGCCTGCACAAATGCTGCACTGCCATTTGCACATGCGCACAACCGAGCATGTAGGCACAAACAGCCTTTGCAGGGGTGAGTGTGTGCAGGGGTGGGGTGGGAGTTCTGTCTTTGCGGCCCGTTCAGGCTCAGGCCGGGGACTGGCACTGGGCTGTAGACTGGGGGTTGATGACCTCTAGTTTAAGAAACAATAATAAGATACTTTAAGAGTGTTCAAGAATAGTTTTCCCTATGTCTGGAAAGCTTAAATCTGAATAGGTTTCTTATCGTTTTCTCCCCCACCTGAAGATGGAGAAAAATCTAGAAAACTCCATCAGCTTGAAGTTCCTATTTTAGTTTCTGAAGAATGTCAGAAATACTATAAGAACCATTCAGGTTCTCTGAATGAACGGATGTTCTGTGCCGGATTCCCTGCTGAAGGAGGAAAGGATGCATGTACAGTAAGTTGACACGTTTTGTTCAACTACTACTTCATAAAGCCTAAGATGTGATTTCAGTAAGATAAAAAATATGATTTCTATAGAATGCTGATGTGGTTTCAGTATAATTATTTTATTAAAATTGCAGCTTGTGTTGGGAGTGCAGTGTCTGTTGGCCATGTTCTAACATCTCCATGGCCACCGCCCAATCCTCTCCACTTCTTTTCTTCTCATGTTATATGGAGAATTTTGAAGGAATAACAGCTTTCTGAATACTCAACTGAGTATGTTTTTAAGTCTTCCAGTAACTGGGAATGCTAATAAGACACAAATAGACATTTGGCTTTAAAGACCTGGCCTCTGGTAGAATTTGTGACACAGTTCCTTGATATTACCATTTTATGTCAGTTTAATACCACAGGACCTGCCATGGCTCCATCCAAAGGACTCTATGGTATCTGCGGTTTGATGGGACTTCACTGGAGTTGTCTACCAGCAAATTCTATGTACCTCACCAAACTGTAACATGTAGGATTCCTTAAGATGGAGCATAACAATTAAGGTGGTGTCAAGCTGCTGTAACCAGGTCATGGATACAGACTCTCCCCATACAGTAGTGACTCTTTTAACATATAAGCACTCTAGAAACAGATGTCTGTAGATTCCTACCTGCCATTGTGTCAGAATTTAATTGTATTCATATTTCCTTTCTGGTTAGGAGTGGTCTCAGTAGACAGGAAGTGCATTTTTTGTTGGTTGTTAGTGTCTGACTATGTTTCTTAGTTTAAGAAGGTAAAGGCAATGTACTTTAATCTTTAGTAAATATCTGTGACAAACAAAGACCTATAAACTAAGGTCACAGTGATACATTGTAAAATATATTTTTATATACACCTTATATGAATCTAAGCTACATTCCTTTTCTTAGGGTGATTCAGGAGGTCCACTGGTTTGTCCTTCAGAAGACTCAATCTCCTACACTCTTAATGGAATAATAAGCTGGGGCCTGGGCTGTGGACGAAAAGGCTACCCAGGAGTTTATACAAATGTGGGCCCCCTGGCTAGATCTTAACTGCCAGGTAGGTTCATATGGAAGGAGGCAGTCCTTCAGGTATCCAGGGCCCAAGCCGTTTAGGGCTTTAAATTTCAAAACAAGCACTTTGAATTGGGCCCGGGCAGCAACTGGTAGCATATGTAACTTAAACAGAATCAGCTTGATGTGCTCCTTAGTGACACCACCACTCACCAGCCACGCAGCTGGCCATGACTCCATCCTAAGGATTCTATGATATCTGCAGTTTGATGGGACTACACTGGAGTTGTCTACCAGAAAATTTTATGTACCTCACCAAACTGTAACATGTAGGATACCTTAAGATGGAGCATAACAATTAAGGTGGTGTCAAACTGCGATAACCAGGTCATGGATACAGACTCTCCCCATACAGTAGTGACTCTTTTAACATATAAGCACTCTAGAAACAGATGTCTGTAGATTCCTACCTGCCATTGTGTCAGAATTTAATTGTATTCATATTTCCTTTCTGGTTAGGAGTGGTCTCAGTAGACAGGAAGTGCATTTTTTGTTGGTTGTTAGTGTCTGACTATGTTTCTTAGTTTAAGAAGGTAAAGGCAATGTACTTTAATCTTTAGTAAATATCTGTGACAAACAAAGACCTATAAACTAAGGTCACAGTGATACATTGTAAAATATATTTTTATATACACCTTATATGAATCTAAGCTACATTCCTTTTCTTAGGGTGATTCAGGAGGTCCACTGGTTTGTCCTTCAGAAGACTCAATCTACTACACTCTTAATGGAATAATAAGCTGGGGCCTGGGCTGTGGACGAAAAGGCTACCCAGGAGTTTATACAAATGTTGCTTCTTTCATTGACTGGATTGGTCAGCACATATATCGAAACAGTAAGGATTGGTGATCGTTGGAGTAACCACAGCTACTCAACCTGATATAGGCATCCCCAACACTATTTCTAAGGACGGGTGTTTAGCAATCTTTAATGCACATGTGGGTCTGCAAAGAAATATCACAGATCTACTTCCACAACTCTAAAGTAAAAACAATGCCAATATCGTTATATGACATTTTATAGAAGCAGACATCAGGCTCTTTCTTGGGTCAAAAGATGGGGCTGAAATCAAATTAAATGAACTGAAGTAAGCTCTAATGGAATAATTAGACGTCTGCTTCTGTCAATTTTAAAGAGGCTAGATAAGAGGAAATCAGCAGGTTATTTTTTAATAGCATGGAGACAAACATGTTTGCCAACTCATTGCTCCAGATTAAACTTCTGTAAAAGTGATAGCTAAAAGGCTGTCCTCTTCCCCGGTACCTACAAGTCCAGCCTGTTGTTGCTTCTGCCTGTCCTGTCTAATCAGATAAAGTAAGGGCCAGTGAGCATGTACCTCCAGGGCCAAGTCCTGGGATTCAGAGCTTTTCAGCCCAGGTGGTAATTAGTGGGACATCTAGGTTTTCTTGGTTGAGAGAAAAAAAATGCAGGATGTCTGCAATGACCTTTTTCTCTAGGCCACCATAATTACAACAATTACTAGAGTGTTAACTCTGTTGTGAAAGCTTCTGTCCCAGTGAGCGGGCTGCTCCAGAGTCTTGCTACAGTTGACTAAATGACTGCTTTCTGCTATGAGTGGCTTCATATTGATCACCTGAAGATAAAAGAAGAATTCTAACTGAAAAATTAACCTCAGGCACTTATTTCAGTCTCCTTCAACCTCCCCTCCGAATGTGTTTGGAGACTATAGGAAGAGTAGTCTAACATAGCTAGTGGGTCTCTGGTTGAGGAAATTTGCTCTATTTGTTGTTAATTTGCAAGGGCTCTGTGATCTGCCTGTGAGTTATCAAAACTACTGATCAGGCTTAATGGTTTTTGCTTTGTGTTCTTCACTGGTGATGAGAAACCAGTAAGTTTCTAGCAAGGTATGTTTATAGTGCTCTTTGATCTTTTTAATTGTAGACTCTCAAAATACTTTCTACAGAATTCCTCTAGGATCTCTTCAAATTCCTTATGAGTGGTGTTACTAATTATAATATTCTGAGTGAGGGTTGCTTTCCATAACAATCATGCCATATCAGTTATTGTAACACGTATTATTTCTTGACTAGTTTAACTGGACTAACTGCATTTCTACTTTTGCAGACTCGTCAAACAAGGCATGAAGATCATGAATCATTTTAAGCTTTTGAAGCAACCACCATATGACATGCTGAAAGACATAGTACTGTAGTTCTAAAACAACATTGCCCGGTTCATGTATATGACTCCTAGCAACCTCGTATCCAAAACTTCTGGATTGCATACAGTATATCATAACCCAAAAGTAAATCAACCCCACAACAAAAACTGCAGTGGTCAGACCAGCAAATAATATCTGTATAGCCTTGGACACCCACCCTTTTCATTTAGAAAACCAGTAAGAGTAACACAAACTCAGAAGTAAATCTCACTCAGGTCAATGGGATAAAAGTATCCTCAGAACTGAAACCGTGGCTATACTCTTCTTAAACCACTTATTTCTAAGTAAAAATAGGTCTGGTAGTAAGTTTATACAATGTTTCAAGTTAGCATACTTCTATTATGTAAAATTACATATATAATCTTCAAATGCATGAATATGCATATCTTTTTTTTCTTTAACTTACCAGTAAAATCAATTTCAGACATTTAAAGGAAGCAATGAGAGGAAGAACATGTTTTTCATTATCCTTGCTCTATGCTTTTGGGTCTTATCTACAGATAGCTGCACAACCCCGATGGGGAGATACTCTATCTCTGTATTTGGGGTAACCATTCATTAATAAAGATTCAATTATGTGCTTGTAATTTAAATTTGTGTATAGTATTTGTCAGACTGCAGGCCCCATGATCCCTTAACACTGAATGTGGTGGCTAATGATTGGCATTAGAGTCCAGCAATGCCCACTGATGAAGCCCCAGTGGCATAAATTTCAGTGGTGAATTGCTGCCGGTTAAAATATCACCACTTGTTTATATTGTCTTTTGCCAAGTCATGTGACTTCTGTGTGATAAATAAAACAAGCACTGATGGCTATACCCCACTGGAGTTTCATCACTGGAAATAATGGACAATATTTGAGCCATCTGTTTTTAAAAATCATGATTGTTACAATTCTTCTGACAAATAAAAATTTGAGCCCCTAGAAGTGACTTACTGTGTTGTATACATTCAAATACTGTATAATATTTCAGAAGTGTCAAATGCACACATAAACATCAGTTCAGACACATGGAGACTTAGCATAACATAGATATATAAAACCTTTTAATTTTTACAGAGTAGTGATTATCTGTGCATTGAAATATCAGTAATTCCCAAATAAGTTTTATTTGAACACTGTTAAATCTCTAGGGTATGCAAAACCTACTATCAAAGTCATAAAGCTGGTAAAATCCCACAACAGTAAACACAGATCCTGAGTCTCCAGAATACTTTTCGGAAGTTGTTCTTCTGGAGTTTCATGTCTTGCACTTTCTAGTCCTGTCAGACAAATGTCGCCCAATGGCCATGCTCATCGTAGGAACGCAAACTCTTAAAAGCTTATAAGCACTGACTATAGTTCGAAGACGAAGCGATGAGCAATAGAGAGAATCAGATTTTTTAAAATTTAAAAATAACACACTGCCTTGCAGTGACACATATTTAAAGGGTTACAAATTAGAACTTATGTAACAAAATGACAACTGACCTTGTTGAATTTTACAACACGTTTCAGAATTACTTAAATAAATATAGCCTCCTACAAAACTAAAAATCCAGAGCACCAGCCACACATGGGTCCTTGTTAGAAAGTGCCACAGCAGGACCCCGCTGCCACCACCACAGAGTTGCATCAAACCAAATAAACCTGCCAGATGGCTACCTAGACTTTCTGCTTCCTTGACTAAAACAAACCAATTTTGAGGATAAGCATCCTAAACTCAGTCAGTCCTCTAGTAAGGTGCTTAAGGCAGGCCAATGGATATCAATTTCATATTTTCCTTTTCTTCCAGACCCAAGATCCTGAACCAGGAACTGGCAGCTTAAAGTCATCCACAGTGGCTGGAAAAATTACCTTTTTGGGGAAGGGGGCTACAACTCTCAGCCACTCTCCGTCACCACGGGCGCTGAGAGATGACTGTGGGATTCTGGGCTCAAAGAACAATTTCCAGACACTGCTGGACGGTAACTCCCATTGCTCCTCCCCCTCTTGGCTGTGGTAGCTGGGCCTGATGGAAGCTGAAGCTTTCAAAAAAAAAAATAAATTGGAGAGCAAAAAGTCACCACCGCATGTCGAAGACTTCATTGCATACAGTGGTGTTGCAGAGCCAAGATTTATAGAATGGAAGTTTGTTTTCGCCACTATCCTCCACTTTCCTCCCTCCCTCCCTCTGTGTGTGCTTATCAGCATTCGTCATAATGCCGGGAAGAAAAATGGATTTCCTCAGGAATACTGTATATTGTTACAAACTATCCCTTTTCTAATGCAGGCTAGTTTAGTGGTGGATGCCGGCTCAGAGAGTTAGGCAGGTTAGGCGTATGCTTTTCGCTGTCTCCACAGGTGCCTCTGAGAAGAAGAGCCAGCTTGTGCAGCCTTGGGCAGGCTGCACAGCACATCCCCAGAAGAAGGGAATGGTAAACCATTACCCAGTACTCTCCATCTAGAAATCCCTAAAAAAGGTCTGATGTAAATCATCGTTGACTTGACGACCCATCCTAACTGCAGTATTATTTACCCAGTACTCTCTATCTAGAAATCCCTGAAAAGGTCTGGTGTAAATCATCATTGACCTGACGACCCATCCTAACTGCAGTATTATTTTGGTTTTGGGCGGGCAATCACGAGCCCCTTGCTTTACCAATAACCTGGTGGAAACAAAAAGCGGTTGCTCCAGTTTCATTCACCCGCCTGCGGTTTTGCCCTCCTCCTGTGAGGGAGGGATGACTTTGGGGACAGTCACAGGGAGCAAAGGCGCTTCAGAAGGTGCACCTGCTGTACCTGAAGGCTCCAACTTAAATTCTCTGGCGAGACAAGGGCACAGTGTTCACCCTTCCGTGTCGACCTCGCTTATGGCCCACCAATGCTTCAGAGTCAGACGAACCCTGCGCGGGCTTCCGAGGCGCGCCCCGCCGCCCCTCAACCCGCGAGCGCCCCTCGGAGTGCGATCCTCTGGCCGCTGCTTGCTCATAAGTAAACCTCACAGAATGAAAGGGGGAACAGCTCCCCGCCTTCCTGCTGCAAAGCGGGCCCCTAGTCTGGCGGGTTGGGAAGAGGAGGAGGAGGTGCCGCCACAGGCAACCAGCGAAGCTGTGTCACAACCGAGGGCGCGGACACCTCTGAGGCGCCCTTTGTCCTCTTGCCGCGGAGGGAGAGGCCGCCCTCGTCAGAAGGGGCCGAAAAGGCTGCCCGGGGGAGGGGAAGGGGAAGGGCAGGTGAGGCGGCAGCTGAGCCTTTTCCAGCTTCTCGTTTTCTTGTCGTGGAGGAGCTCTCGTGGCGCACGATGGAGGCTGAGTTGGTGAGCAAACCTAGGCGGGGGGGGGAGGGGGAGAAAACGCGGGAAGGAGAGAAGAGGCTGTTGCGCTTTCCTTGGACGCTCGCCGGTTGCTAAAAGAGCATTTGCGGGGTTTGCCTTATTATGCTATATGCTCAGAAAGCTCCCCCTTTTTTTCCTCAGGAAAGGACCCATTGAGCCCGTGGAGAGGGGAACAACACCTGCACCCGCAGCGAGGGTTCTCCAGGAGAACCGCTCGTGACGTTACGGGTCTTGGTGCGGGTCTTGCTTGCTTGTTTTTACCGTGGGGCTGAGAAGGTGAAGGAGGAGCGATGAGCCGTCTGGCCTCCGGCTCCGTAACCTAGACGGGAGAAAGTAGTGCCTGAATGTGAGAGCGGCTCCCGATTCAGGCGTGCTCGGGAGTGGGGTGGGACCAGGGTCGCACAGGTGGCAGGGCACAGTCACGGCGTCAGCCACACACACTCCGGAGGGCGTCCGCTGACCCCCGTCGCAGAAAGCACAGAGGGAGGTTTCAGACTCCTGGCGCGGCAGACTTTCCAACTTCACTGAGCCTCATCAGCTCTGGAGAGGTAGATCAATGCCATCATTCAGTGCATGTTTCATGAGTACTACACTTGATCTTAGCCAAAAGGCCGAGAAGTGCATGTTTCATGAGGATTGTCACAGGAACTGCTACTCCTCTTACTCTTATCTGCTGGTGTTGCAGAAGTCAGCTGTTGACAAGAGGTGGGACTTGGAGACATTAAGTACAGTAGTTGTAAGAAGGTGTAGTTCACCTCTAGGCCTGCTTGTTTGCTTGCTCAATTCGTTAGTTAGTTAGTTCGTTCATTCATTCATTCATTCCTTTGGAAGGCCACTCTTGAGTGGTTTACAATCTATAGAAACAGCATTATTAAAATACAATTTAGCAGAACATAAAATAATAATAAAAAAATGCAGGGACGTGGTGGTGCTGCGGGCTAAACCGCAGAAGCCTGTGCTGCAGGGTCAGAAGACCAGCAGTTGTAAGATCGAATCCATGTGACGGAGTGAGCTCCCGTCGCTTTGTCCCAGCTCCCGCCAACCTAGCAGTTAGAAAGCATGCAAATGCGAGTAGATAAATAGGGACCACCTCAGTGGGAAGGTAACAGCGTTCCGTGTCTAAGTCGCACTGGCCATGGGAGACTGTCTTCGGACAAAAAACGCTGGCTCTATGGCTTGGAAACGAGGATGAGCACCGCCTCCTAGAGTCGAACATGACTGGACAAAAATTGTCAAGGGGAACCTTTACCTTTAAAATAAAAAAATAATAAGATGCAAATAAGCAGTACCATCAAAACATTAAAAATTGCATAAAAAAGAGCATGGACAGAAAAGCCGGCAACTCAGATCTCTTTCATGGCTTAAGAGAGATTTCAGGCTGATTATTACAGAGTGTATTTTTAATCTGGAATAGTATTTATTTATTTATTTATTTATTTATTTATTTATTTATTTATTTATTTATTTATTTATACCCCGCCCCTCTAGACCACGTCTACTCAGGGCGGCTTACAGCATAAAATAGATCAATATTAAAAAATGTAAAAATACAATTACAATATTAATTAAGGCAATTAATTTAAAAAAGGAGTACCAAGATGGGATAGAATAAGAAAAGAGGAGGAGAAAAAAAAAGACTTAGCTGACTGGAGGGAAGGCCTGCTTAAATAGCCAAGTTTTTAACTGGCTTTAAAAAACACCCAGCGAGGGTGCTTGCCGAATTTCTGTAGAAGTTTTGGGGAGTCTGAATGGACATGATTGGGCTGTACTGTAAATGGCTTTCTCTGTATTGGTGTGCACACTTCTGTACTTCCGTATTTGTCCTAAGCTAAGGACATCCCATACAATGAAACTATTCCACCTGTCCCATGCTTGTCTTTGATGCATTGGAAGCTCAACTCAGTGTTTGATCATGAGGTGAGCTATATGGCTCTGGACAAGCCTTCCTTTTCACAAGATTTTCTGCTCCACATTCAGAGCAACATGAAGGCATGATTATAAGGGCATTCTTTGCTGGTAAATGCTTATAGAAAAATGACTGCAAATTGACAAAACTATATTTAGCATATGCAGTGGTGATTTAATCATCTGTTTTTGTGTTTTCCTCCCTCCAGAGTGTCTCTTTGTTGATTGCTGGGGTGGTGGTGGTTGCATCTACCCTACTGTTGCTTTTCAGAGCAATGGGATCTAAAATGAAGAAAGATCCAGTGACCTTACAAGATCCAAATGTGAAATATCCATTGCCTTTGATTGAAAGAAAGGTGAGTGGGTTGTTCTTATGTGGTCTGACCACATGAAGTTGTCTTACACTGAATCACACCATTGGTTCCTCCAGTCTGGTAGTGAATACTCTGACTGACTAGCCTGAGAACCTTTTCATTTGAGGTGCCAGGACTTGAACCTGAGACCTTCAGACATCTATACAACTTCTCCTTGATCAGCTGTGATGTGTTTTGTACATGTTGTGACCCTATAATTTTGCTATATATTGTATACTTGTTGCCAGTCACAAAAGATATAACATGGATATATTGTATGGATACATAGTTAGAGCTGCTTTCATATTTTTCAGCTGAAACAAGCTAGGTAGCTCCTGAGGATCTATCTACATGCAAATATTTATCCATGTGTCTGAAGGCTGGTTTTGTGCCTAATGCAAAGCAAAGCAAAGCAAAGCGTGCTGCTTATATACCGCCCCATAGTGCTTCAAGCACTCTCTGGGCATTTTACAAGTTAATTATGCAGGCTACACATTGCCTCCCCAGCAAGCTGGGTACTCATTTTACCGACCTCGGAAGGATAGAAGGCCGAGTCAACCTTGAGTCGGCTACCTGGGATTGAACCCCAGGTTGTGAGCACAGTTTTGGCTGCAGTACAGCGGTTTAACCACTGCGCCACAAGGCAATCTCCTCTTTGATCTCCCAAACCCACATCAACCCTTGCTATAGCAGTGGGTAGATTTTTCCTGTGTCCATAGTTCTGCGGACTGCTGTGTTAGTCTGATATTGGCATGGGGGTGTGTGGAAATAAGAAAAGGAAAACAGTTTGCTTATCTCCTTCTTAATGCAGCTAGCCACAGAAGGAGGCAGTAGCTGCTGCTTGTGTCAGAACATCTCATAACTTTTCTCATTTTCTTTGACTGGAACAGCAGCTTTGATACTCTTTGCTCTTTCAGGAGTCTTTTGCTTTCTGCCTCACCTGCCCCCCCCCCCCAGGAGCTTTCCTTAGAATGTTAGCACTATTGGGGCATCTATGTATGTCTTCCTTATTATCTGTGTCATAACCATATGCCTCTTTTTTGGTCTGTGTACACCATGGGAGCATGTATCTGGAAACTGAGGATTTTTCTAGATGGAGCATTTGTTCTCCATAAAGTATCTGGATCTATGCATATCTCATCAGCATTTTTTTCTCCATCTAAACAACAGAAAACTTTTCATGGTTAGAACAGTGACAAAAACCTGTAACTTTCCATGCATTTTTGCTCCCTTTTGATGCATAGTTTATTTTTTTATCTTGGTTCCCCCGTTGGTGACAGGTTTTAGCACTATGGTGTTTTGTTTCCACAGGCACAGCCTCTTGTGTCCATGTGGTCAGACTCTTGCAATTAAGCTGCCATTAACTGTAATGAAACCTTGCACAAATAAAACTCCAGAAGAGATGTCTAGCAGGAAGTTGGGTTTCTGAAGGAAAAAAAAAATTCTGAGCTGTTTCAATAGAAGTGGTGTTTAAAATCAGCTTTGAATGCAAATCTAGTAAAGCCCCATATCTTTCCTTGCTAAACAGGAGAACAAGGAGTAGGGATAGAACTTTCCCCTCTGACTGAAAGAGCTCTCAGTCTGGCCATTGATGACATGCTTAGACTTTTAATGTAACCTTAGAAAAAGAAATATAAGTTTTTATTCTTGCCTTTTGATAGGAGATCAGCCATGATACCAGGAGATTTAGGTTTGGGCTTCCATCATCAGAACATATACTGGGCTTGCCTGTAGGTAAGAAGGACTGCATTTTGCCTTTGACGTGAGTTTTTTTTCTGCTGGAGTGCCCTTCTTATGGAGTTTGCCTCCACAAGTTCTTTTCCTAGCATTAAGAGAAAATATGTTTTATATTTATCTAGACTTTAGAAAATAATAAGAGCCAAAGATTTAAAATTGAATATTTTGTTTCATTCTGATTTTATATTATTCAATGTAATGACTATTTTATTATTGTCTAGCATTTCTCCTTATGATCCTCTCTGGGAATGTTTATGGGCTAAACAGCAAAGTTTATAACTAACTGACCAACTAACTAACTAACTAATAGCCATCATGTTAAAATTTATAACTAACTGATCAACTAACTAACTAACTAACTAACTAACTAACTAATAGCCATCATGTAAACTATTTTTTTAGCAATGCTGTACATAGTTTTGATATTGAAAAGCTGAAAAATAAGCAAAGGCAGATACACAGCCAATCCTTTAGGCTGTTGTCAGAATAAACTTAGATTTATGCTAGTTTGTCAGTGAAAAGTTTGAAGATGTTGGTTTGCATATGATAACATAAGTGAGGATTAAATAACATCAGTAAACATTGACAAGGAGTAGCAAAATGGTTGTGGGAGTGCTTCACTGCAGGGCTTCAATCAGTGTGGGTTTCATGGAGAGATGAACAAAATTCATCTGACACTCAGCATTCTGAATATCTACTTTTTTGATGGATCATTTCAACAACTGCTCCGTTAAGAAGCCAGATATGCTGGATAATAAATGCTTCATAAACCAAAGAAGATGCAGATTTGATTGTGACCAAAATCAAATGTCAGTGGTCCAAAACTAAGGCTGCAGTCTGTGCAGACTTGTTTGGCTGTAAGTCCAGTTCAATATAATTGGAGTTATTTTTGGATGAAGACACATAGTATTGTGCTGCAAAACTGATTCTTAGCAGTGTTGTGAAACAAGGGTGGAGAAGAGCATCAAAGCGTGACTTACAGCCCTGAAGGGAGTGCTTTGCTTTGTGTGTGTGTGCTCACATAAAAACGTTGCTGGTTTTGTCTCGGCTTTCCACTTCTTTACTGCTCGTTTTATGAGGGTGTAATGTGTTGTGGGATGCCAAGATTTATGCTAGTTCTGTTCTAAGTGCTGTCATGGGGCAGTGGTCCAGGGATCCTGACCAGCTAGCTAACACCAGAGGGGGTTAACATCCAGAGAAGCCCAGGAATTGGTAACCAAGACTTTCTGTGCAGTGTTGCTATCTCTATGGAATGCTGTCCTGCAGTAAATATGACAAGTGCCCTCCTTCTGCATATTCAAAACAGAACTATTCAAAAAAGGCTTTGGGGACAATCTCCCCAGTTAGTTGAGCAACGTTCAGTCTAATTTTGTGGAGTCCCATCCCTTGCACACAGAGTCCCGGCTGTGACTGGAAGCAAATGGGTGGCCCTGATCCAGTGCTGTGTAGCTATGCAACTTAGAGGGAACGTTGTAGCTGGAATATTGGAAGGAGGAGGAAAGGAATAATACAGTATTATACTACATTCTGAAAATTGTTTTGCTACCTCTTTTGGGTTATCATTCATGTCTGGGATAGCTTATATCATGCACATTTTATTTGTTGTACACTGCCTGGAGTAGCAGTTTGCTGGATAGGTGGATGTAAATTGAATGAATGAATGAATGAATGAATAGTCCCATATGTAATCAAGAGGGAAGCTTGTTAAAGGTAAAGGTAAAGATTCCCCTTGACATTTAGTCCAGTCAGGGGGCGGTGCTCACCCCCGTTTCCAAGCTGCAGAGCCAGCATTTGTCCAAAGACAGTTTCCATGGTCATGTGGCCAACACGACTAGACACAGAACACCATTACCTTCCCACTGTGGTGGTACCTATTTATCTACTCGCATTTACATGCTTTCAAACTGCTAGGTTGGCAGGAGCTGGGACAAATGACGGGAGCTCACTCCGTTGCATGGATTCGAACTTACAACTGCTGGTCTTCTGACCTTGCAGCACAGAGGCTTCTGTGGTTGAACCTGCAGCACCACCACATCCCATTAGTATCACAGAGTAATCTATGCAGTAGAGTCTAGCCACTCTTAGTCATACAGTGGTGCCTTGACTTACAAACGTCTCTACTTACGACCGTTAATAACGCAGTACAATTAAAATAATAGTCAAATATTAACTCCTCAAATGTTAGACATATAAATATAAGAAGATATTTGTCAAGGGCTAAACAGAGATTGAAATAAGTGACAGGTGGATATCCATGGAGAGAGCATTTCACCAACAGACTGTCACAACCAGGAAGTCTATTTCCATGGTTATTACCTGCCTCACCTTCCAAAATTAGAGCTCCAAGGGAAGATCTCTGTATTGCAGGGGTGAGCAATTAATTTCTATAAGGGGGCCACATGAAAAATCTGAACTATGTTTGGGGGCCGAACCAACTTTACTTAAAAATAAAATGAAACAGTGATGTTATGATTGTTTTTATTTTAAACTTGTTAATCTTCACAAATACTAAAGAGGTTTTTTGTGGTATGTTAAAGATAAGCAACTAATCAACTTTAGACAAAAAGCTATAAATGGTTTTGATGTTCAACTTGTTCAGTGAGAGAAATCCAGTCTGTCTTGGGCTTGAACAAGTGCTTGAACACCGGACTGGAGCGACAACCGGCGGGCCAGACAGGAGCGGCTTGTGGGCCGTATGTGGCCCTCGGGCCGCACTTTGCCCAGGTCTGCTGTATTGCATGGACAAGTTAAACGAATAGGCATTATCGAGTCCTTAAACTGAGGTCAGAGATGTACTAGAAATCGGTGGGAAGTTTCCCAAGAACTGCTATCTGCTAAAGTCCCGTTATTCTCTTATTTGTACGTGCTGCAGATTGTCAGCACTGATTAACATTAGTTTTAACCTGTCCTTGAGATTTAGTCCCAATCCTGGTTAGGCTTTCCATTGTGGCTCTTTAAATAAAAGGAAATGCCCATAATTGCACATCAGAGTAAGCTTTTTGTACTGTCAGCCTGTCAGACAGGGATTCTGGTTGCCCTCTTTTAAAAAATGCAGAAAAATTAAAAGTTCATGTACCCATTGATCTGCACGTGCCTTTTGAATAACCCATACAAATAAATCACTAGTTAACAAGTTTGGGGCCTGAGATGTTTTGGGACTCCCAATGTTAGAAGTCCTAACCATCAGGTGTGCTGAGTAGAGCTTCTGAGAGTTGCACTTCAGAAATGTCTGGGGCCCTATGTTTGGGAACTACTGCAAAAAAAAAAATGTTCTTAAAGAACTCCATGGTTCGGTTGGCTTTTAAAGTCCTAGTGCTAATCTTCAATGAGCTCCACATAGTCTGGGGCCATGTTACCTAAAAGATTATGTAGTGAAATGCCTTAGTTCCATATGAACACATCTAGACTGCTGGATAGCTCAGTGGCTTAGGTCTCAGGCTGTGGAGCCAGAGGTTGGGAGTTCAATTCCCCACTGTGCCTCTTTAGAAAGCCTGGATTCGATGATCCATGGGGTTCCTTCCAGCTTTGCGGTTCCGAGGTTATAGAGAACCAGCTGCTGGTGCTTCCACTGTCAGAAGTGAGGAGACAGATAAAAAGGAGCAAGGACTCCATCTATAATGACACCTAGACTTTGAATACCTTCCCAGGGAAGTCTGGCTTTTCCACATCACCCTGTCACATCAGCGCCTCATTTTAAACAGCAAGTGAAAATAATTTGGGGGTAATGCTGGTGTTGAAGTAAGAGGGATATAGATAGCTTTATGAAAGGATTGCTTTTCATTTCTGTAGTTGTTATAGATTGTAGCTTTTAAATTGGTATTTCTGATTCAGGAATCAATTTTAGTCTTCTTGGGCACTGCTTGAATGAGAAGATGGGAAAAACAAATTTGTACTTGTTCTTCTGTCACCAGAGGACACTCTAACTTATGAACATAGCTTGACAGTAATTATATTGGAAAGCTTTCTCTTTTTATTTTTTGGTCTACTTTGTTCTTCTTTTCCTGAAACAGTTTTCTTCAGTTTTCATCTGGAATAATAGATCTTCAAGAATCCAAGGCAGTTTTGCTCTTTCAGTTAGGGACTTAGACACAACCATGAGGGCTTATCCTGTGTATTCTCCTGCCCCACTCAAACTCCAAAGAGGGCAGGGCTTTAGTGAGTCGAGGGGCCCTGCCCTGGGTCTCAGTCACCAACCTGGTGGTTTGACTTAGAAGCTGGAGGTTTCCTATCCTCGCTATATACAAAAGGAAGGATTTCCAGGTCATTTGTTTTATCTGTTTAATGCTACAACAAACTTTGAAATGAAAAACTTAACTATTTCCTTCTAGGCCAACATGTGTATCTTTCTGCCAAAGTTGCTGGAAACCTTGTGATCCGGGCCTACACTCCAGTTTCCAGTGATGAAGTGAAAGGCTATGTTGATTTAATCATAAAGGTATGGTCACATACAAGGTTCCCACTAAGCTGGGCGTGTGCACACACATACAATTCCACTTCCCTCTGTGCAGCCATTGTGTTAGATGCTGGTTGTGACGGAACCCAGCAAGCCGGGGGGAGAAAGGCAGAGCGCTGAAAATTAGAGTGGTCTTTGGTCACATAGCTTTAATTCAAGGGGTTGAGTTTACTCATATTCTTTGCTACATTTCTTTTATAAGCATGCACCTAGTACTGTGCTTGAGAACAAGGTAGGGGATGGTATAGTTAAAGTGAGAGTAATAATTATTAGAAGTCATAACCCTGTGGGCAGAGAAAATGGAACACTACTCACAGTTTCTTGGAAGATTTTCTCAGAATTATCCTGCTGTGTTCTTACAAATCCTTTTGTAGCTTAATCTCCTTAGGTATTCATTTATTACTTTTTGCTACTTACATTTCTTTGGCTGAAATCTTGTTGGCATAACTACTGAGGAAGGGTGATAATGTCACCACTAGTGGCAATTTTTGGAAATCAAAAACTTCACAGTTTTTCTAGCTCCCACAAAATCCCTTTCATCAGATGGAAGCCATGGGGCAGAAGCAGCAAATTATTCAAATGTTACCCACTGTGTTTAGAACTATTCTGATGTTTTCCAGGTCAAGTGTGCACATGTGGTTTTTAAAACTCTCTTTGACTTTTAATCTTTCACTCAATTACCTCATCAGACAAAAGCAACAATAATTATAGGGTGCTCCAGTACAGATGTTTCCATTGCAATGACTCATATAAGATTGTTCATATCTCTTAAGGTGCCCTACCACCACTGTGTGTATTTTTGTGGCCTTCATTCACTAATAAAGTCAGTAAAAGCAAACTACTAAGAATATACTGTATCTTTCCTTTGTTTTAGTACTCTTGTCTCCTTAGTTAGTTTTTCAGCTGGGAAGATAATCTGCACATATTAATACTGTTCACCCAGAGACAAATTCTGTATTATCTTCCAACTTTTACGTACTACATACACAGCTGCAGTTAGGCTGAACAACATTTATGAGGTCCCTTGTGTCTGTCCCATCCTGTAAACCTGCTTGTGTATGGGTAAAGGTAAAGGTTCCCCTTGACCATTTTTGTCCAGTTGTGTTCGACTCTAGGGGGCAGTGCTCATCCCCGTTTCCAAGCCATAGAGCCAGCATTTTTGTCTGAAGACAATCTTCCATGGTCACATGGCCAGTGCGAGGTGGTCCCTATTAATCTACTTGCATTTGCATGCTTTCGAACTGCTAGGTTGGTGGGAGCTGGGACAAGTGACGGGCGCTCACTCCGTCACGTGGATTCGATCCTACGACTGCTCTAACAGCAAATGAAGCACACTTCTGATTATTTAAGCAGTTGATTAAATGAAGAGAACATTTCATTTGAGTTAGATATTCTAGTGCTTTTCTCTCCAGGAGCACAAGAAGTATGAATCATTGCTCAATTGAGAAACAAATTGGATAGATGTGAATCATCTCGTTGCCTATTCATGGGGCAACATGAGGGACTCTTCCATAAAGCTAAACCTTTTGCACCTTCAGTGTTGTGTCTCTGATGTAGCCTTTCTCAAGCTAGTGTCCTCCAGATGTTTCCAATTCAGTTCCCTTCCAGCCCAATCATTATGTCCAGTGGTTAGGCATTCTTGAGAGTTGTAGCCCAAAACATCTGGCAAAGGTGGGTTCTGACATATTTTTCATATTTTATTGTGCATCTTAACACTATTTAGAATTTAAGGAAGGATTTAAGGATAGCAGTTTCACAGGCACAGGTTTAAGAGATAGCAAAAGTGACACCTGTTAATTAAGATAACCAGGGAGGCCTTTCTCTTGGTCCTGCCACCTTCACAGGCGTGTCTGATGGGGACATGGGAGAGGGTCTTCTCTGTCCCTGCTCCCAGACTGTGGAACTCTTCCACACAAGAAGCTAGGCTGGCCCCAGCTTTGTTGTCCTTCTTACACAAGAAGCTAGGCTGGACCCAGCTTTGTTGTCCTTCCGCAAGCAGGCAAACAAGCAGGCTCTTTCTTCACGACTGGCAGTCTGAGAGGGGTAGCAAGCTGTTTCTTCACGACTGGCAGTCTGAGAGGGGTTTTATACGCTGTTACTTTTAAATGTGCTTTTAGTATTGATTTTATTGACAATTTTTACTATAATATTGTTTAATTCTTTTAAAATATTTGTATACTCACTGTTTTAGCTTTTAAATATTGTCTTTTAATTGCTGTAAGTTGCCTTGGATCCTTTTAGGAAGAAAGGTGGGATAAAAATATTTTCAATTAATTAATTGATACAAGTAGTGGGTTTTTGTCAAAAGTTACAAAAGTAACACTATAGTGAAGATAGCAGCTGTACTAAAAACACTCTGACTTGTGTAGTGAGGGGAGAAGAGAAGATGCAAAAGTGGTAGAGTGGGAGCAGGCTGAGACAAAATTGGCAACATCTCCCTCCTCAGTTTCATGCCTTCATCTGGGGAAAGGCCGCATTATGCTCTCCTGATGCTTTGTATTGATCCCTCTCACCTCAGGTTTACTACAAAAACACTCACCCCAAGTTTCCAGAAGGTGGAAAAATGTCACAGCATTTAGACAGTATGAAGATTGGTGATGTCACTGACTTCAGAGGACCTAATGGGCTTCTGGTATACAAGGGGTCAGGTACATTGAAGACTCTAAAATATATGATTTGGTGAAGGAGGTGTAGGAGTTAGATAGTAGAAATTTTTTCCAACTGTTATTGTCCAACTGCCTTGCTTGGTTCAAGACTCTGTAGTGTAAAGTTTTAGTGTGATGAGTGAAACTCCACAGGAATATTTGGGGCCTGATCTGTGAGAATGCTCTTGAGGGAGAAGGATGGGCAGAGGTAAAAAAGTGGGGAAAGGGAAAGTGGTGTGATTCCAGGACTCCCTTATCACTCATTTGTTTTGGAATGCCATGTGTATTTCTCAGTCATCCAAGTAACCATATTTTTCCTCATGGAAAATGGCAGGTGTCTTTATATCTTTCTTTAGGGTCATTTCAGACTCATCTCCTTCACCCTATGGATATTAATGAATGACATTTCCCACAGTGAAATCTTACATATATTTATACAAAAACAAACTGCTTTCTATAGGAAAGCTTACTCTTAAATAAGTGTGCATGGAATTGGAGACTTACTCACACCCATTTTCTACAGCATTTTAATTGCATTTTAAGTGCAATGTAAATAATAGCGTATAAGGGCTTGCTTATCTGTTCAAATCTAATTAAGTTAGTATTTTGAAATCGATTGAGAAAAGTTCATAGAAATTATATAGACATAGAATCATAGTATAATTGAGTTGGAGGAGGGGCTATAAATCCATTGAGTCCAACCCCCTGCTCAGTGCAGGAATCCAAATCAAAGCAGATCAGACAGATGGTTGTCTCATTTTCTCTTGAATGCCTTCAGTACTACCTCCCAAGGCAATTGCTCTAACAGTTAGGAAGATTTTCCTGCTATTCAGCTGAAATCTAGCTTCCTGTAACCTGAGACCATCATTGTTTGTCTTGCGCTCTGGGATGATTAAGAAGGGGCAACACCTGATTAGTAATTTATTGTGCTCTAGAGATAATTTTGTCTCGCTTCTGCTATCACTAGCTGTGATAAGCAGACCGTCATTGTTTGTCTTGCACTCTGGGATGATTAAGAAGGGGCAGCACATGATTAGTAATTTATTGTGCTCTAGAGATCATTTTGTCTTGCTTCTGCTATCACTAGCTGTGATAAGCAGTCTCTTGTGTTGTTCTGTCCAATGGCTGAAACCCAGAAATGTTTTTCATACGCCCATTGTTCTTGTGCGAGGCAGACTCTTTTGTCCTGCTGACGCCCTCTGCCGCCTTATCCCAGGCATTCTGTTGGGTCCCTTGAGCTGCAAAAGTGGCTTTAGGGGTGTTTAGTGGACTGTTGGGGGTGGGGGAGCCAGAAAATCCTTGTGTTCCATTTGCTCATTTCTGGGTTCAACCCTTGTGCCTACTTTCTTGGAAGGAAGCCCTGTTGTGCTCAGTAGATGGAGTCTCTGATAAATAGTTTTGCATGGTATTGCAGCCAAAATGACTGTTGCTTGTTACAGTGTAACAGTCATGGTCATTGGCTCATTTTTAAAATTTGTACTGACAGGCCTAATTTCATTTTCATGCAGGTAAATTTGCCATCAAGCCGGATAAGAAATCTGAAGCAAGGATAAAGTTTGCAAAACATCTTGGAATGATCGCTGGAGGAACAGGTTGGACATATACCTTGGGTGATTGTGTGCCTTGACTACGTAGAGAACAGGTTGTGTTTGTACACATGATAAGGATCAAGCCTTTTGACTAGGTTATATTTAGTCACCAAGTATGGGGCAGGGCTACCGCAGATGTACTTGTCACTGGACGTTCTTGGCTTATTAAAGCAATGAGTAAGGGTGGTGATACCTGCCTCTTAGTGACAAGATATTGTTCCAGCATGCCTAAAGGAAGTAATGATGTGATCTCTGTTGAAAACAAATGAACAAACGCCATGCTGGATAATTCTGACCATTCTACAGTATTTCACTCTGCCAGATGCTATAATGAATGGTGACACCACAAATCCAGGGGTTTCTATTTTAGACTGATTTCCCTACATACGTTTTAATTCAGTTTAACCCTGACTGTGAAATAGATCGGTTTGGTCACTTTGGTGAATACTCTATGCTGGGAACTGGGCAAGAGAAGTGTGTTGTTTTTGTTTCTGCTGAACCTCTTGGTGGCTTTCAAAACAATTGATTTGTGGTCACCTTCTGAGTTTTTTTTTTCTAGGAAGGCATAGTTTCATGGTGGCTCTACTCTTTTGAGTGGCTTTTTCAAAAAGTGGTGATGTGGAGAAAATAGATAAGAAAAAAAAACATCTCTAATCATGATTTTTGGCTTTGATTTTGATAGGGATTACTCCAATGCTGCAGCTGATCCGTCATATCACAAAGGATCCCAAAGATAACACAATGTGTTCCCTCCTTTTTGCTAACCAGGTGGGTGGACTTTTCCGATTTATTTACTTGGAATCACAGGAAGGATTTTGAGCAGTTGAACTACAGTAGAAGGGGACTAGCAAAACTTTAAACATTAAACAGAGAGAGAGAGAAGCAACTTATATGCCTTTTCTGTTTCTGGAACAGAGATATGGTTAAATTAGTAGTGACCTAGATGATGCAGATAAACTGTGTTCCCTTTCACAACAGTTTTGGGGTGAGTGAGGAGATGGTACATGTAGGCAAGGCAAAAATATGCACAACACATATAAAACCTGGAATGGTCTTAGGTGCACTTGCTCTGGATAGAATACCAGCTGGAAACAAGGAATGACTCCACTGTATTCAGCATTGTGTCTCTTGACCAGCTGAAATGATTGTAATAAAGATGTTTTTTCCATGTTACTGCTTGAGTTTGGATAGGTGAAGATGAACGAGCATTTCCCATAATAGCTGAGGTACATTTTAGAAGTTAAAAGGGTATTTACTTATACTACTGTACATACACAAACATCATCCCATTGATTAGTGTAGGCTGCCTGATAAAACTGTAAATTATTTTAGCTGGAAACCTGTGTAGTTTAGAAGGTTGCATGCATAACTAGGTACTATATGTCTTTGTGTGAGTTACCTTTTCTGATGCACTTAGTAAAACTGAACACATCAAACTCTTACAAAAAAAACACCTCCTAATGTTTGCAAACAATCATCAATCACCTTAGAAATTCAGAGCTGGCAGAGACCCTATGGATCATTGCCTCCTAATGTTTGCAAACAATCATCAACCACCTTAGAACTTCAGAGCTGGCAGGGACCCTATGGATCATTGAGTCCAGCCCCTGTCAAATAGGCGTAGTGGGGAATTGAACTCCCAACCTCTGGCTTAGCAGCCAGAGACCTAAACCACTGAGCTATCCTCTTTCCCCTTCTTTGTTGTATAGCTGGTTGACAGGATTTTTATTTTGTTGTATGTAATATGTTGGTTGGGGCGACAAACGTGAAACAAGATGTAGCTTCTAGAGATCTCTTTATAGATCTTTTCTTTGTTCATGTCAAAACATCACAGTATAATTTATAAATGTAGCAGATAATGTTTGTTCAATAACGGGTAAGGCCCAAAGCATTTGGAGCAGCAGGCATTACATCTTCTATACTAATATTGAGGGGCATAGAGACAGTTGTGAAGTTGCCTGTTCTTCACTGCAATCACAAAAGACTATGCCAGCACAAAAGCCCATTTTTAAATATTCACTTTGGTTTTTTCTATCTGAGGTCTGTAACCTATTAAGTGACTTCCAAGTAACCTATTTCTCCATGTGAATGGGGGATAGACTTTCCTGGAGTTCCATTTGTATTAAGAGCTTGGTCATTTCTTCCCTCATTATAATCCTGGTATGTTCTGCTCTTTCTTCAAGATTTAGAGATATTCTGGGGAAAAAAATTATTTGATTTTAATCTGGGAGGGGTGCTAGCCAAGGAGTGGACATGTATTTGATTTAAGATACTTTCATTCCTTTACTGTTAGCTGCTACCTCTCTTTGTATGTCACTGGGCGCAATACCTGTTAGGTAATGTTTTTATGACTAGGGGTTAGCTTCAGGCATCTAGTAATGATTCTACAGCTGTCATTGAATGCTGCATCTGCCTCTTTTCCATGGGCTGGGATTAGTGTATTTACCTTCAGAGTAGAGTAGGGCAAGACTTTAGTTCGCAGTGCTTGTAGTTTTGTTTCCTAACTACCTTCTGAAAGGTTTCAAAGAATATTGCTCCTTGCACAGACCTTTTGTTTTCTGTTTTGAAAGTATTTCGTATACATCAGCTTATAATTCAAAGTAACAACTAGATATTTGAGAGTTTGCCATCTTTTCAGGTAGCCTGAAGTTTCTGGGATGAAAGGCACATAATTGAGTCTTAACAGGGTTGGTTTTAAGTTTTTTTTTTTTTTCATAATATGCCCCAAGTTCTTCTAATGCATCTCCACAGATGAAAGGGACAAAAAGGATTTTAATGTCTCTGCTTCACAATGCAGTAAGTGCAGGACAGTTCAGATGTTTGGTATGGTGGAAGGAAGAGGAGGCAGCTAACCTGTACATTTTCTTCACTGTAAGTGAAGAGACTTCTTAAAATCTAAGCTGGAATGTTTGAAAGGGTGTATACGAGAACTGAAACCTAGCTACTTTGTCCAAATGCCTCCAAGAGGAATGCAGTTTTTCCTCTTTGGGCAATGAAATAAGTTCCTGACAACTTCTTTGCTTCTTTGGAGAAAACAGACTTGAAATAGGTCTAAAACATGCCTCAGATAAGCTACACTTGCTTGTCTTGTGAGACCTGCAGGTTTGGTGAACATTGTTTCAGGGTTTTGTTGACTGGCCAGTTGTTGGGTTTTTTTAATTTAAATTTTTTATTTTTACAGAGGTTGTAAAGTAGAATTGCGTGGAGCAAGTGAAGCTGGAAAGCAACAACACATAACTAGAGGGGAGGGGAAATGAAGTAATAATAATGTGCAGTCAAGTCAATTCTGACTTATGGTGACCCTTTTTAGGGTTTTCCAGATAGAGAGTACTCATAAGTGGTTTACTATTCCCTTCTTCTGGGAGTGCCTTGGGACTGTGCAGCTTGCCCAAGGCCACACAGGCTGACTCTACTCACAGGAGACACTGTGGGGAACTCCCAATCATACCTAAACCATGCAGTAATAATTGTAATAGGCCTTGTGCCTGTACTGTATATTGTCACTATATGCATGCCTAACTCACCTCCTATTGTCAGACAGAACAAGATATATTATTAAGAGCAGAGCTTGAAGATGCAGCTATAAATCATCCGGACCAGTTTAAACTGTGGTACACGTTGGACAGACCACCTCAAGGTGAGATACACAGTCTTTAAAAAGACTGAAGAAGTCCCCTTCCTGGTATGCAAATAATCTGGACAGTTCTTCTGTTGTTGCACAATTCTACTGCAATCCACTGTACCCTGAAAACTAGCAAACTCTTAAAGCTTATATGTAAGGATTGCGTCTGTGAGTGTATGCATACAGTACTTGAGATAATCATTAACTTTTCCTGACTGAGGTGATTACTGGGCCTGACACATCTCAAGAATCCTTCCCAGGCAAAATGTCTTTTCTCTAGTAAGGCAAATGCACTAGATGTTAAGTCTATGAAAGCTCTGTTCAAGCACATGCTTAAGATCAAGTAACAAACATGTGAAGACGTTTTCTCTATTGGCCCCATCATAACTTGAAGAGATGTTTTTGTCCACATGGAGACTTCATGCAAATAAGAACCATTAAAATATATATTGATATTTCACCTGAACAACAACAAAATTATTTTCACACTCACTGGTTGTTGTATGAGCATGATAGAGTGGCCAGGTGAGAGTGCGTCCTCTTCCCATGATTCTTTGTCTGCTGTTAAGACTGCCTGGACAGGGCTATGGAGTTGTACAGGGAATAATAGGTTTCATGCTAGTTAGCATTTTCTTTTGTAACACTGGGGAAATGAATAGTTGCTGGGAAGGAGAGAAGGGAAGTATTGTACTATATAATGGGACCTGAACTGTTTCTTGGTTTAAGAATGGGAGCCTCCATGTATAATGTAAGCGATATTAATCTATAAATTTGGGTGCTGTAATATTCTAGAATATACATTGATGCTGCTGCAAAACCTATCCTCCCCAGCTAAAGATAATATATTATTCAGATAAATGGAAGCAGTAGCTCTGTACAATATGGCGTGCAGAAGATTGTTTTCAGGAGGTGAAATGATAGCATTGGGCAATTAATTTAGATGCAAAGCTCTGAAATGTTGTACTTATATTTGATTTTTTTAAAATTTCAGGATGGAAATATAGTTCTGGTTTTGTTACTGTGGACATGATAAAGGAGCATCTCCCTCCCCCTGGCAATGAGACTCTGATTCTGATGTGTGGACCTCCACCTATGATTCAGTTTGCCTGTCAGCCAAATCTTGAAAAGCTAGGGTATGCTAAAGAAAGTGTGTTTGCTTACTAAACTCAAAGCTGCATCATGTTCAGATGCTGAGAATTGTTGTGAAGAGCCTTTTGTGTCAAAGTAAGGAATGTTGGTATCACATTTTTATATTAATTGGGTAGATAAGACATACTTCCATATGATTTTTCTGCTCCCTGCTCCGTTCGTTTCAAAAGCAGTTTATGCTTTGCATTTTTGTCAGCACAGCTCACAAGTAAGCCCTGTTCAATTCAATGACATTTATTCCTATCTAAGCCCTGTTCAGGTACTAGAATATATGGTTTACCTGACATGCAAGAAGAGCAGTGCTGACCTTTCCCCTTCCATTACTTTACATAATAACTGAGTGTGAAGAAGGTTTTCATCCAGCTAATTGCAGTTTTTGTTAAATTTGGGGGCTATTTTATAAAGACTTTAAATCTGAATGAAATTTGAAATCATTTTGCATTGTTCTCTGGCTCAGTATTCTTCCTTTAACTAAAATAAAATAACTGTTTTCACACAAAATCAAATGTACAGCTTGAGACATTCTTTCACAGCATGAACTGTTGGGATCATATAATATGGCACGCTCAAGGAGAAGACAGTAGGGGAAATGATAGGTATAACTTGCCACAAATATTATGTAGTGCTCTTCAGAGTGAGTGTCCAAAATAGCAAAATAAGTCTGGTCATTATCAGAGATGAGAAATTTTCCTATAGCACTCAGTATCCTGCAGATGGTATGGTTTCTGTAATATTGGCTGTGTAATTCTGATTTTTTTTTCCCAAAAGGGAAAAATCAAAACCAAATTTTCCCATCTCTGGTTATTGCCAGTGCTATCCTAGACACGCTAAAGGCCTGATCAGGTACTAAAATATATGGTTTGCTGAGCAAATGAGGAAAAGAATACTTGGTCCCAACCGCCCCTTCATCTTTGTTTTCTTCATATGATGATCAAATGAATCTGAGGAAGAGATGCCTGCATACACGAAGAGTCTTCACAGCAGTGAACTTGCACCCGACTTGCTTCAGAGTGGTGACTTTCCTGCTCCTGACCAATGCAAATTTCATGCATAGTACTTAAAAGAAAAGCACAAACATGGCATAATTCCCTACTATTCTTTCTTAACCCATTGGGATGCCACTGCAGTTACTCACCATGAAGTTCCTCAATTCTGTGTAAAGGCCACTGAGATTCATTGACATCAACTTACCATGATATGACAGCATTTGAAATTTAAATAGTGGTGTGGAATATGTTTTACTATTTAGACAGTATTGAACACAAACTAAGAAATACATACATTTCAGCTCTATTTCTCATGCAAATCTTAATATAAGTTAAATTCAACATTCACACTAAATGTGGAAACCACAGTTGCTAAGCTTTGATTGTTGCAGTTGAAAACATATTGTTGCTTTTTAGCCAAATTGCCACTGTGTCATCTATTTATCATAACAGCCTTGAAAACATTTATATATGTGCTTGCTGCTCAAAACTCATCTTCCATGTACCCAAGTCTGACATGCCTTTGGAGTTACAGCACAATCTAGATCCAGAACTATATGACAGTATAAATCGATTCAAAACCTTCGAAGTCTGAAAGTCTGCAATGAATATCTTCTGGATGAATGAGAAGCCCGGTTTCTGTAAGCGACTTTCACATAGTCCTCTTACGTAAGCATCCAAAGGTCTATTACTTAATTCTGAAAGATGGGCTTGACTTTTTGTTCTCTCGGCATTCTTCAGTGAGTTTCTTCTAGCTGAATGTTAACCAGTCTGTGCAGAAACAAAACCCTCAGGATGCCTCTATTGTTAGAACAGTAGCAGGTTAGATGTGGAATGTTGTATATGAACAAAATGTACCAGCACCACCAGATGGTAGCCTTGCCTAATGATATTTGATTGGCCTGACAGCAGAGGCTGGAGAAATCTGTAGAGCTGGTCAGCAAAGTTGTAGAATATACAAAATATTTACAGAATTGCTATTGTGTACTGTGAAAAAAACCTCTGGAACAGGTTGAAAATTCTGTTCAGCCTATCACTTTTGGAAGAGAAAGCTAAAGGAGCTGTGTTGTGATAAAACAGACAGGTTAAAAAGAGCACCAGCTTTAGAGAAAAGGAAATGAAAGATGTGAATGCTTCATATTAGGAAAAAAAAACTTCCTTTCATATTGAAAATGTAACTTTTTACATTCACCACAAAATTCACCAGTGCTTAGAAAAGTTGTGCTTTTGGATCCTTCAATCAGAATGGCCATGTTTAGGCGCTACAGTCTCCCCACATCCCCCCAAAAGAGTAACTTTTCAAAGCTCTACTATGTTCCCCTCTGCCTGGAGGTTAATCTTGTGCTCTGGAAGCAATTTCAGGCAAAGCGAACTTCCCAGCAATTATCACTGGGGGCCGGGGGAGGAAAATCTATGTGACTACAGGTATTAGTAATTTTGTGAGTTTGGAAGCCATGACTCAAGGACTGCTTCTTGTGCTTAGAATGTCAAAAGTTGCAACAGGTTAGACATTGTAACATTTTCCTGCTACATTGAAATTTCCTTTCGCTTTTCTCAGTTATAAATGTAAACAAATAATCTAATTTCACCTGGTTTTCCAGAGAGCCCTTTGTTGTTTTTGCTGAGGAGCAAGGACCAAAAAAAGAGAGGGGAAAAATTAATTCTGTTCCAGTTCTCTGTTTGGTTCCTTCATTTTACAGGTTCTCAGTTATTTTTTTGAGGCAGTATTTTCTAAAGAGTTGTTTTGCTTTCAGGTGAGTAGGGTTAAAAAAGCAGCAAACTTATAAAGCAGAAAGTCCCTTGTAGTCATTTCACCCTAATTGAATTGCAAGGATGTGCTATGCACAGTTCCAGTGTATTTAAGGCAAATATGCTTAAGTTGCATGAGATACACTTTGTACCTTTGTGCAAAATTTGTCATTCTTCTAGATCATCTGATATGGCAAATGCAGTGGTTATGTGGGAGATGAAATACCACAGAAACAAATAACAACAGATTTACCCCTTCCTACTTGAGTTCATTCGTTTAACAAGACTATGACAGACTAGAGGCACAGGTGAGCATAGTAAGACCGAGGAAAGATACAAAAACCACAAACAGAAAAGGAATGATCTCTTTAAATATGAGAGCTTCCTGCATCCAAGAAGGGAAACTTACAGTAGCTTTAGTAGAAGTTGTCAAGTAAATAGGGCACTAGGTTTAGCAAATGGATCTGTAACGCCATATTGCAAGTAAACCATTTTCCGTTGTACTAGCCCTTCAAGAGCAGGTACACCTTAGAAACCAAGGAAAACTAATGTGATTCCAACAATCTGCACTGTAAGCAAATCTTAAAAATACAAAATATAGAAAATGGATGACTGACAAGTAAATGGCTCACTCTGTTTAAATTATATATTTACATACCCCCAGTTTTCCCATTTCTCAAAATATTGCATAGGTTTTTTCAAGTGTGTATGTTAAGTACCTAGAAAGTGGGGTTTTGAGTCCCAGTGGGGACTTTTAGACATAGTACTTAAAAGTTTTCTCTCTGTGTGTGGCAGATTATTTGGGCTGCGTCAGTCGTTATCTCCTAATACAACCATGGTAGGAGTGGCTGTTGGTTACATGGTGTCTTCATCTCCAATCCTCAAGAGCTGGTGTTAAAAATCTGTCATCGTTCAACATCTGATCTTGGCTCAGCATAGTCTGGAAATTAAAAATATTGTACAAAGTATGCTACATAGACCAGGAATGTACACAAGCAGGTACAGTAGATACACTGTGGATTTAGGGGGATTTACGTGGGTGTAGTTTATGAACAGCTTATTTAGGATTATTTGAAATCCATTTTAATAACATAAGTAGAAACAGCAGGAACTGATTACACGAATGTAAGTCATTTATATTGCTCTTGTATTCTTGCTCTGCCCAATTTAACCTGACAAAGGTTTCCAGTGTATTGAAGTCTACGCATGCTGTAAGTAACTTGAGAATATCAGATGTGTGAATGACAAAGTTTAAGTAGACAAACTCTACCCACAAGAGTCGTGCATTAAATCTAGCTTCCAGGTTCACCAGCTTTTTAATGTTACACCTCAGTATCATTGTGTGAAGCATCATGTGAGGCAAGAGAGTCCTCCAGCCTCAGACTACCCTTTAGCAGCTCTGATCTAGCCCTTACTGTACTTAATGAATCAGTGAGTAATCAAGCTGGTTTGGTATTGGCTGCATATGTGGAAGGCTTCTATCTCTGGCGCCTCTTCCTGACAACAACGTAACCCATCTTACAACATTTGTAGAATTCACCTAAAGTTTTATCTGCTTAAAGGTAATGACAAAAGATCTCATTCACTGAAAAACAATTTTAAAGAAACTACTATAGCCTTTCCAATTCTGCGTAAATTTGCTTCCGTCAAATAATGTGGTTTTGATTTTGTGCATGAAACCTACACAAAAGAGGTTTAATGTTTCATAGGGGCCAGACCACTAAACACTGGGTGTCTCCCTTTCTACAGGCATATGGAAGGAAATATGTGGGTGGGATGTTTCTGTGTTGGCCACCCTCAATATGCCAAATGTGATGGTTCCAAAAATTGGGTCTTTGAAGCATCAGGGAGAAGCATGGCATTCAGAGGATAGCTAAACAGCACCCCTCTTACAGGCTTTCCAACTGCACAGGGGAATCAAGGGATCCTCCCCACCCCCCATCCCTTCTGCAGGAGGTGGAAACCACAGGTGGAAAGAATTGTTTAATGAATGGCTCAGCTCTAACATAATTTTGAATATAATTGACTAACTTGAATAGCACATATTTATTTATATTTATTGATTTATTTAATTTATACCCCACCTTTCTGGACCAGTGGACCACTCTAGGTGGCTATCAATAATAGAGCTTCATTTGCTTATCTAGAAAACAAATTCATACATACCGTAAGATTGTTTATTCCTTGAGAGAGTTCCCCTATTTGCATTACTGTTCCTTCTGAATGTTCCATCTGTAAAATCATTTCAGTAACCAAATGAAATAAAAAAAAATCTCAATCTCAGTCAAACACTGCATATATATGATTCTGTGTAAACATAATCCCAGACTACCTTAGGAAGTATCACTGTCCTTTACAGCTTGCATATTATCCATACATACAGCCTACCTGTCTGTTGGCAGGGTGGAAAATCCTTCAGTTTCAATAATTCATTGAGCAATAACTAGTTTTTTTTTTAAAAAAATAAGTCAAGAAATTTGTCTCTTAAATAACTTGTGCATATTGCTATATTTAAAGCACACACACACAACCAAAATCACATGCAGGAATTCTGTTTTCTGGCATTCGAAAATATTTCAGCAAGCAGGTGTGAAGATTCAGGTATGCATCATGCTGTATTAATGACTGAAAAGGTGCTGTGCATGCTTAGAACATAGGAAGGTATGACAATGTATCAGTGAGTTCAGTGTTTTTGTACTGATATGGCCTTCATTTCAAATATTTGCATCCATTCACCATGTAATGATAAAGACAGAACAATTTAACAGTACACCAACTCAGAAAAACAATTGAGTCAGGGGGCTATGAGTGTGTAGTAAGGGAAGATGATGCCACAAACCCCCACACAGGCTGGCTGGTAAATCATACTGCAGAAGAGAGCAGAGAAAGAACTTACCTGGTTTTAGAAACCAATACAAAAAAAGGACCATTCATCACTGGCTGGATAGCTCAGTGAGTTATGTAATTGACTGGATAGCTCCAGTGGAGTCGGTGGTTGGGAGTTTGATTCACCACTCTGTGCCCTCTGGGAGAAGAGCCAGCATGCAGAGTCCTGGGCAAACTGCACAGTACCAGCGCAAACCCAGAAGAAGGGAATGGTAAACCACTTCTGAGTACTCTCTACCCAGAAAACTCTGGAAAGGGTCGCCATAAGTCAGAATTGACTTGATGGCACACAATTATTATTAATGGCCTTATGCAGTCATATTTAGAGCCTTGATCATCAGGGTTTGGAACAGGATGGGCAGCCTCTATAAAAAGTCCCATCACAGGTATTCAGCCTACAAACACAGGAAAGAATGTATGACTAGCAAAAGGAAGCTTGCTCATCCCCCACACCATAAGTCTACCAAAGGGCTCGCCCATGGTGGCTGGTCTCTTTATATAAGCCTCTGCATTTGCAGGGCTCCTTCCACCATTGAAGTTAATGCATTTAAAGACTGGGAAGTTTTGTTTGTATGACAAACCTCCTGGTGTTGTCAGCATTAAGGTATATGCATGGATATGATAAGCCAAACAGGATTATTAAGCAAAAGTGAAAATACCTGTCTGCAAAAACAGAAGGCGGTGGCCTTTCTAATATTGCAGGAGTGCAATACTAATCTGTCTTTGCTAGCATAGCCGGTGATGAAGGATGCTGGGATTTGCCATTCCACAATAATCTGGAAGGTCCCAATTGCTTTAAATGCAATTGAGGCTTTAATTGCCACTTGATAATAAAGCACCAGTGACTTGGACTGCTAAACATACAACATTTCTGATTCCAAGAATGCACTCACCTATGCTCTGCACAGTCATATTGGTAGACAGACATTGATTGCGCAGGACAGAGAAGCAGCACAGTTGGGAACTGTACTGGCAGTTTCATTTTTAGCCACTGAACTAGCAGAACCGTTTGGCTCACTGTTAAATATGACTAATGTCTCCCTTGTCCAGAGGGGGCAGCTAGATCTCTACAATGGAAGACATCACGGCAATAGCCTTCTGTCATGGATTCACAGGCAGCTACATGATAGGGATGTAAAGAATGCTTTCTGAGTTCTTTATTTTTGCTGATACAGGCTCTCTTAAGCAAATAAAACAGCTCAATAAGGAATTTTTAAGCCCTGAGATACCTTGCCTGAATTTGAGAGCAAGACAAGGAAAACTATATTTTCTTCGTATTGTGGTTTCTTTGTGTAAAACAAACTGTATGTGGGTAAAACTAGTGATCTTTCTCTCTGAGAAACAAATCAGGCTCATACACTAAGCATGGAATGATGTGTTTATTTAAAAACACATAAACAATTCCTGTGAGGCCTCTAATCCTTTCTCATAAGTTTCATTATTTGGATTGAAACAGTTTTTGTGAATTTTTTGTGCCATCTGGCTTAAATTCTACTAAAAAGATTTATCCCATTCTCTGTTGAAAGTGCAACAAAATATGTTACACTCTCATAGGCTGAGAATAATCTTGCTGTTCTTTACTCTCTATGTAAGGTTGAGACAAGGAAGGAAATATCTAAAATAGTGCTCACTGTGTACATGTCTTTCACCTATTGCTGAACAGCTGCCTATGATTACACCCCAACGGCATAATGAATGACATGTTTGTTAGATAAAACAGCAATACATTATATTTTAAATGAAAAAAATATGAAATGTGTTAGATGAAGTGAATCATGCATACGAAAAGTAGAATAAGAACTGTTTGCAATTAGTCTTTTCATTTACCATATTTTTTCTGATTCAGTTTCTGACTTGGAAACTAGAATCCGCAAAGGTTGCATCAGTCTCTTGTACTTTGCAGAAAGCTGCTCCATTTTTCAGGTTTTTAAAAAATCACTTTACACACAATTCTGTATTTAGTACCATTATGATGGGAGTTTATAAAATCTCTCCAAACTCTGTAACATTTTAAGCATGATTTCATCACAAAGAAATAATCACAACATAAGTTAGACTTTCACGCCAGGGTATTACTTTTATTCTTTTGCTGATAAAGTTGTATTTTCATTTTGTTTTGTTTTGAGGATGCACTGTTTACGCCTTTTAATAACATACTCTATACATTCAATATGGCGCAGACACTGCACAGCTGATGTAGCGTATTACATTAAAAATATACAGTCCAGTTGCATTGTTCAGAATAAAATAGATACATCTTTACAACTGCTTATATTAAAAAACTAATAGAAAAAGTTAAAAATATCTCTGGGCAGCATGTACGGTTTATTTAAAAAGTAACCGCCCTGCAATAGCAATGCACAGAGAGTACCCCTTTCTAGGTCAAGACTTTGGGGTGCTTTGATTTCAACCTCAATGGCTGTGTAAAGTTTTTTCTACTCCTGAAAAAGGGCTTCAGAAGATGAGTAGGATAACGTCTAGTTGCCAATGGAAAATAATTCAGATGATATTTTTTAAGTATAAGATGTTTTGGTCTCATTGTAATACATTCATTAAATCCATGCAGATGCATCATGTATTGTAACAGTAGGTTATCAGTAAGTTTTGGGATGCATGTAGATCATGAGAGATGAGCAACATCAGTCAGCCTGGCCCACCTGATCCAGTTTGTCTAGTTCTTTGTCAGGGAGCGCATTATGCATTTTATATGCACCACAAGTCTTCTGAATGCCATTGGTGGTGTTTGTATCCATAGGACATATGTAATCTGTGGACTCATCAAACTTCTTTTTTCTTAAGTTGCCAAAATGTGAAAATCCAAGTTTCTTTGGCTAATAGGAATGAACGGGGACAGGGACAAGGGGGAGAGAGAGAGAGAAAGAACAGTGTCAAAGATTATCACAGAAGGGAGGTAGAGTAATACTAATTTCAGCAGCTATTTCAGCAGCACACCACATGCAAGACAATTATGCTTTCAGCAGAAAAATGACCTTTCACACACTTTACCATGATAATGGGAATAGATTTTGCCATGCTGTTCATTGACACTCTCCATTTCCTGGAGGGAATCAATTGAAGGCGTGGCAAAATCCATTCCATAACTTCCTGGAGGAAATTGAACAAGTTCATTTTGCTTTTGCTAATAAATGTACTCTGAAGAGAATGGTCTAAGAAGATGGAGAGGGAGATGCTTGCTTTCACACATGGAGGGGAGGAAAACAAAGGTTCAGAATAAAACATAAAGCAAAGCACAAATAGATGCCATCTAGGAAAACAGGAAGTTGCCTATTGGGTCCTCAAGCCCACTCCTTTCAACTCTTTTAGGCAGTTTTTTGTACTCCTCACTGGAGGTCTGAGAATTAAATCTAGGACCTCTTATTTGCAAAGCATGTGCTCCCCTACTGAGCTCTCCCTGTAATTAAGCTATCCTTCCAAAGCATGGTTATAGCACTTCAGAGCTGTACTATCAGGAACAGACTGGATGACAGCAGAGGGTTGGGCAGCCTTGGGAGGGATCACTTCTCCCTTCATTTTCTAGCAGAGAGCATTCTGAGCAGAACTCTGCTTCAGGAATCCACCTGTTGGTGTCCCGGAAACTGGATCCAATTTTTTGTGTGTCAGCTTGGGGCTATGTCTACACTGTATAGATAAGTCTGTCTCAAAAAGAGCTATACAGTTGCCTTAAAAAGGTTTTACGTTCACAACCATTCAATTTCAAATGAGTAACATAATTAACAAGTCAGATTTCCCAGGATTCTCCATGATAAGCCGTTGCTATTACTAACAGAGATTTACAGTAGACATATGGCCAGAATTTCTAAATGATCTGACACTAGAGGGTGAAATTAGAACACTCTATAACACTCTGAAGACTGACTTTTAAGATTCAACCTAACCATGTGCCGATCAATTTTTAAAGTGCAAATCCTACCATAAAACCCAATTTTCAAAGTGCAAGCTAACTTCAGGTGCAATCAGATGGCATTTGGCTCGCTGTTTGGGCAATGGAGGGAACAGAGCAAAAAATAATTTCTTTAAACCAATTAGGGCAGCGCTGATCTATTGCACCACCTAGAAAAAATTGTGAAAATGAAATCTTCCTTCCAGAATGGGAAGAAGGAGGCAAGGAGGGATTTTTAAAATCTTATCTTTGCATTTGGAAATTAGCCCCACCAAAAGGGACCTACAGTAACTTGAACAAACACAAGATTGTTCCCTATGTTCTACTGCTTCAGTGTGTTTGAAGTGGAATGAAATTCACCTCACCTTATCTTTTGCATCTATCTATATGGCATACCCATGAATGAACAGCAGTTCCCCCTCCCTTCTCCTTCACACCCCACTGCCTTCCTTTAAAATCTCTGACACACAGGTGGCAGAGAAATACAAGTTTTTCCATTGTGCAACTTCATACATATGTATAACATACATCAGTAATTCAAAGGAGAGTGTCAGGTAGAGACATGTGGGTGTGGAGAAACACGGGACGGGGTGCCTCTCCTACATGGTTATGGTGCATTTCAGCCCATATTTATGCTCAAGCCTCAATGGCATCTGCAGATCAAGTAGGGTCACCTGAGGTGCGTACGTCATTTGGTTGCAAGGACTGTGCCAGATGGCATAGTGGACCTCTACCTAACCTTCAGTTTTTAGCCCACTACAGCCTGCTCCAATTGAACTCATACAGACAAAGCTTCAGTCATGTGTCTGAGCAGCATTATTACTCCTCTGTAACCTACCCGAACTTTAGCAGTCGTAGTCAGAGGCGTATAAGCTGTAGATTCAATTATTTCTCTTTTTTCTTGCTGTGCTTCTGGTCCAATGAGTACATTGAAGTTAGTGGTCAAGTGGCGTCTGAGCAGCGTCTTTTGAGGCGGAATGTTGAGAAGCATTGCCAGTGTATCACCATTAAAACGAGGTTCAAGGATCTGTTGGAATTGAAACCACATGATCTTTATGGCAAAAGGTATCACAAAGGGGGCTGAAGAAAAAGAAGGGAGCAGTATTTCTTGGTGGAAGGCATGTACAGCATTTCTATCCCTACTTGTTTCAGCAGAAGGAGTAGAGACACATGGGCTTTACTTTGGAGTTGGGGACCTATTTTTACCTCTGGAACAGTGGATAGAGATACCCAAATCATGGACTTCTGGACCTCAAAATATTCTCCCTAAAAACTTCTATCAGGGGCATCGTGACTTTAAGACATTGTTCATTTTCCACAGAAGCCATTTCACTTTTGTGGCATTGGTAAGGATCTTCCACGATGAAAGACAATTTGTTCTCTTTTTGCAGGAACCTGCTCCATCATATATTCTGCTGACACTTTATCAATTGCCAATTTGAAAGTAATTTCCATTCTCTAATTTCATTTTCACAAATCCACATACTCGAATCCAAAGATTGGGGAAGCAGCTTGTTATACAAAATCATTTATTAAAATGGGCACTCATCACTGACAGTGTTGTTTTCCTTAAAAAACAACAACACTTGAACTGATCAATGAATACGTTTCCTATCATGACAACCATACTTTTTTCCTTCAGTTCACAGACATGAAGCATGCAGAAATGCTTTGAAAAATAAATCTTTCTCTATCTCTATCTCCCCACCCCCATTTATGTTTTGTGTACAAAAAGTTCAGAATATACTTTCTTACAATGAGATAGGTTGCAGAAATGCTTTGAAAAATGAATCTTTCTCTATCTCTATCTCCCACCCCCATTTATGTTTTGTGTACAGAAAGTTCAGAATATACTTTCTTACAATGAGGCCACCATGAACTCCACTTCCTCGAAGGTTTGGCGCGTATTCAGCCAGATCTACTGATCTGAGCCATTCCATCACTCGGTGATTGGACCACTGCACTACTTCAGAAGGTGAAATGTTATTCTGAGTGGGGAAAAGATAAAAATCATAAATGAAGATTTACGCAGAAATGAACTGAACATTTACTATGTCTATCTCTTCAGTGAGATACTGTTTTCAGAGTAATTCCTCCTGTATACAGTAGTTATCTCTCCTGATCCACAACATACCAGGTTTTGCTTGAATCTCGTTTCACATTTAATAATGCAACACAACAGCACACTTACATTTCAGAAAACCTGTCAGAGACCTATTGGTACAGGAGGGGACTAGTGTGCCAGTGAATCTACCCATGAATTAGTAACACTCTCCTGCTCCCAAAACACATCCCCAAATAATGTACAAATTACTCTCTGCAGACATGAAAAAAGAGCACCAGAGCAGCTTCCCTTGGCTAACTAGAAAGAGAGCTTTCCCTGGGAAGAAAAACACTGATACTTTCCCACTCTCACTTTCTTTGTTACTGAGTAAACAGGCTTTCTACTTCTAGAAAAAGAACAATTGGGGTGGTTTGCTTCTTCACCTCATTGGCTGGCCTCCTACGCAAGCAGTGAGGGTTGAAATTGTTCACGTGCAGCACGTGAATGGCACACTTAATGCTGAGATGATGCAGCTGGCTTGTGACTTTGAGAAAGAGGAGGTCATTCTGCAAAACAAAATCAAAAGGTCCAGGAGCATGCCGTGTCAAAAGCACACTTTACTAGGTAGCCTAACAGAAGAGATCTAATCTAATGAAATCCCCAGAAAACAAACTGAAACCTGAAAAATAATAGTGTGCTCCCCCCACCCTCTTGAGGTAGGATTGGAGTAACACGTTTGGACCTAAAGAAGCCCTTCCAGTCATGTGTTTGTGTGTGTGAGGACATAATTCATTAAGGAATCTACAGAATCTTATCCCATAGAACCTTCTCTCCACAGATGGCAGAACATCTTTCATCCCATGTAATAGTTTAAATGAAACAGAATGCCCTCAGCATTTCACTGACTGGCCAAACATATCCTCCCCATTTTTAGTTTCCACATCACTATTTTTCTCCAGAGTGCAACAGCTTTTCTGCTGTTTTCTATTTCCTGTGTTATGAGGTTATGCTTAATGTCTTAGTCTGTGGGTTTATTTTCAGCAGGATCAGGACACACAGGAAGAGAAAGTTTAACTCTTCCCTCCTATATCATGAACCTGATAAAAGCTACCCATGCTCCCTCTCAGCAATTAGGTTTAACAAACAATAACAACTTTTGTTTAAAAAAATCACATTGTTGCATTTGTATTTTAGTCCGGAATCACTGTGAATGGTCTGAATGGACTGCTGCTCCCCAATTTTGTTGACCTCTATAGGGCCATCAGGGCTAGAGTTGTTTTAAGAGTTTTTATTTTCTACTTCTGAACAAATCGGCAATACACATTTCAAATCAGTTATTTTTAGAAATAAAACTAGAAAGGCGAAGAAGTCTCTTGTTCTCCCCTGACCTAGGGAAACATTATTTTACTCCCCTGCTCCTACCATTATCTGAGAGGAAGGAAAGGATAGGATCAGCTCCTGCCAGCTCACCACAGTTAGATATTGCAGCATTCGGCCATCGACTCTGGACTCATGAAACTGATCTTTGTACTGAGGTAAGCCAATATCATCAAGCCATCCTACAGAACACACAAAAAGACTGCTTATAGAATCAAAGAAAAGTGAAGCTGGAAGGGGTCTACAAGGCCATCATGTCCAACTCCCTGCTCAGTGCAGGAATACAATCAAAGCATATCTGCCAAGTGCTTATCTGAGTTTTTTTATCTAAGTTTTCCAGTGTTGGAGCACTCACCAACTCCCTTATCTGAGATTTTTATCTAAGTTTTCCAGTGTTGAAGCACTCACCAACTCCCAAGTTAACTGGTTCCACTGTTGTACTGCTCTTAAGAGGTAGGACGTTTTTCCTGATACTCAACCGAAATCTGGTTTCCTTTAACTTGGGCCCATTGTTGCATGTCCTGCACTCTGGGATGATTGAGAACAGGTCTTGTCCCTCCTCTGTATGATAGCCTTTCAAATACAGTATTTGAAAAGTGCTATCATATCACCCCTCAGCATTCTTTTCTCAAGGCTAAACATGCCCAATTCTTTCTGCCTTTCCTCATAAGGCTTGGTTTCCAGCCTCGTAATCATCCTCATTGCCCTCCTCTGAACCTGTTCCAATTTGTTAGCATTCTTCCTGAAGTGTGGTGTCCAGAACTGAGCACAGTGTTCAACGTGAGACCTAACCAGTGCTGAATAGAAGGGGACTAGCACCTTGAGGAATTTGGAAACTATATTTCTATTAATGCAGCCTAAAATAGCATTCACCTTTTTTGTAGCCACATCACACTGTTGGCTCATATTTAGCTTGTGATCTATGACAATTCCAAGATCCTTCTTGCTCATAGTTTTGCTGAGCCAGGTATCCCCCATCTTGTAACTGTTCAATTGATTTCTTTTTCCAAGGTGCAGTACTTTGCAATTATCCCTGTTGAATTTTATTCTGTTGCTTTTGGCCCAGTGCTGTATCCTATCGAGGTCATTTGAATTTTGTTTCTGTCTTCTAGGGCATTAGCTATTCTGCCCAATTTGGTATCATTTGCAGATCTGACAGGCATTCCCTGCACTCTCTCATCCAAGTCATTAATAAAGATATTGAAGAGCACCGGGCCCAGGACTGAGCCTTGGGGTACCCCACTTGTGACCTCCTCCCAGTTAGAGAAGGACCCATTAATCATCACCCTCTGAGTAGATTCTGTAGCCAACTGTGTATCCACCCGACACTTGATCTATCCAGCCCACACCTAGTTAGCTTGCTAATCAGGATATCATGGGGCACTTTGTCAAAAGCTTTGCTGAAGTCAAGATATACTATCTACAGTATTCCATCTGTCTATCAGGGAGGTTACCTGATTTTAAAAAAAGAGATCAAATTAGTTTGGCAGGATTTGTTCTTGACAAATCCATGTTGGCTTCTAGTTAGTAGAAAAACCTCTAGTTACTATAAAAACCTTTCCAAAAAAATAGGTTTCTTTTTGGAGAATAAGCGTCCTCTGATGATGATTCTATGATCTCTATGTCTCCTCCGCCACTAGATTAATGTATGTTTATTCTAACAATGTTCATGTTTTGCTATTAAAGAAGCTACATAATTACGAAAACTGGAAACAATGCTCTTACATTTGATAGTAATTACAAATCCATATCTGTGACTATTTTACAGATGGATAGGAGAGAAATGAACCTCCACATTTGTATGTGAAAAAAGTTCACCAAAGTCTATTTTAACCACTACAAATACTTACGGGTCACCCAGATGTGATCTAGCTGTGCAGACTTATCATCTTGTTTTGTATTTATAGCTTTAACTGCTAAAACCAATTTCTTCCTATGCAGAGGATGCTTTATCCCTAGTTCCTATGGAGAAAGAGTGGCAATTAAAGCCATGCCTGCGAACTTGGTACTTGCATAGACAGAACACACGTAGTTTCATAGTTGGTGCAAAGAATTTGTGATTCATATATTATACTGCAATAATGTCCACATATGATTAGGTGAATATATTTAAATAGCAGCATGATGACTCAGCAGGGAGATTGTTGAAGGAGCCACTAATCAATAAATCAAGACACATGGTAGGATCTATTATATGCACACTTCTGGCTCACAGTCACCGACTTTGTGTTGAGGATGGCTAGCTTAATCTCTCACACCTATGTGTCTGAAGTTCCTGCTATGGAAAAAAAGAGAGAAGAACCCTTGTGGATAAGAACAAAGGCCTATTGAGTGAAGCATTCTGTCCCCAAATCAGCCAATCTGGTGCCTACAGGAAATCTACAAGTAGAATATGGCAATAGTGGGTTTAATAGGTACTATTGGGTGTAATAGGTACTAAAATTCGTAGCATTCTCTTGGGTGTACCTTTTAGATCAATCCATGCTGGCAGCCATCATTACACCTCTGAGTTGCACAGAAAAAAATATCTTTCAAATCCTCTCCTACTTAGCACACATCATTTTGTATATCTAGCTTCCGAGTTAAAGCCTATGCTTTGTATGGGGAAGTCCCCAGGTTCTATGTTTGGTGAATGCACGCTGGCCTGAAAAAACAGCAACTGCTGTCTGAAATTCTGGAGAGCCCCTGTCAATCACTGTCAACAACATCAGGCTGGATGGACCAACAGCAACTTCATGTGTTGCCCCTTATATTTTTCTGATCTGGTCAAAAACAAAGCTCCAAATCTGTAAGTGCTGTTCTCTGCACCTTCTATGGAACCATAATATCTTCTGAGGTGGCGCAAGCAGAAATGCAGTAGTCCAAAATGTGGTAGCACCACAGATTTGTACAAAAAGATTGCTACAGTTCACTGTGTTTCCATGTTTTGGAAACAACCAGAGTAACTGTGATGGTCACAATATCAATGGTCACCCTTGAAAAAAATTAAAAACCTCAGAGGTCAAAACAGGGCTGTCAAGTTATCGACTGGAAACTGATGTCATGCTGCTATTTCACTACCCCTAAAAGATTTGCTGTACTTCCACACTTTGTTTCCACTCATATTTTAAAGTGCTGACTTTTGACCTACAAATGCTATAAAAGGTCCTTTATCAAGATATCTAAAGATACAAATCTGTCTTTTTTTCCAGGATAATCAGCACAATTGGCAAACCTACCAAAATCCTGGTCTGGATTTCTCTGTCATTTTATGAAACTGCTCCTCAATTTTAGATTATTTTTTAAAGAGGTCTTCCAAGGCCATCATCTGATGTTTTTCCAGAATTAATCTATTCATTTACTACAGGACAGGCATCACTGCAGATTAACCAATGATTTATTTTATACCTTTTTTAAAAGTACTATATATAATTCTGAGTTTGCCACCAGTGATTAACTACTTCTTTAGAAAAACTCAATTACTTTCAATAACCTTCAGTAAACAGAGGAACTGCTGAGGTGCTAGAATCTCTTACCTTTTCCATATCCTGTGGGGTTGCTGTTAAAAGGGTGTGGCCAGATGTTACCCACTGCCGTGCAAAGATGACATACTGGCCAAGACCGAAATCCTCAAGCCAGCTACAAACACGCTCAGTGCTCCATTGGGGAAAGGGGGCATTGTGATCACTAGGAAGGAAAGAATGGAACTTCACATTAACATTAACATATCTTCTCTTGCATTTAGCAGACTATAAAGCATTTTCAATTAACTGTCATGCTGGCTGTCACAGCAACACTATGATGATTATCATAGATGGAAGGGTGAGACAAGATTAGTAGAGAAAGAAAACAGGTCAGTGGTTCATCAGCCAACTTTTGTCATCAGAGAACAAAAGAGACTATGGGATCCAGACTGATTATTGTACTGCAAAAAGTGGACCCAGATGCTTGTCTCACAGTGGTAGCTCGGTAGGAAGAAGATCCCTCTTTCTCTTGCTGGAGCTTAGCTGCTCTCTTAAAAGCTTGCTTGGCCTCAGAGAGGCAGTGGGTATTCTGGCTTTCCCTCACAAAGGGTTTCCAATGCATGGCCATCTCCTTGGAGCTCTTTCGTATTGTTAGAGCAACACTAAATTACTAAGTGTTCAAGGACAGCATATACTGCCCAGGTTACCCTGAACATTTCTCTGTTCTGTCAGCATGACCAAGAAATGGAAGCCGATTAAGAGTATATAGTTGAATCAACAATAGCACAGTAGCAATGAGCCCATATTGAATCATTCTTGTCTCATTGCAATTGTCAGATCATTTTTAGTGACCTGGAACAATTGGGCCGTGCAGATAGATAAAAGACAATTTCCAGAAGTAACTTGTGCAAGAAGTGGGGAAGGACAAGTACTAACATCTTCTTTTACCTTTGACACTGCTACCAGGTCATGAGATGGGTCCTGTGTGACAGAGGGCCACTTGATAATAAGAAATTTAAAAAGAATTCAAGGTTTCAAAGCAAACTCCTTGTTTGTCTAGTGTGGAATTGCAAATAGGCCTTTACCACTTATTAACTAACATCTGTAAAGGTTCAAGGTTCAAGCAGACCACTTTGTTATGCTATATTTAGCAATGCTTCAGTATAAATAAGCAATCAATCATTACTTTTTTTGTCCCTTGGTGTCCTTTGAGCGAGACAGTCTAGGTCCAGCTGTTGCACGAAGGCCACCTCTTCGAAATTCACCCAAGCCCAGATCATCTCCAGGAAAATTTCCAGACTGCGTCCGGCGTATTCTTTTTAGAAAAATAAAAGTCCACAAGGTATTAGAATGTAAGAACTTTTAAAACTAACATATTCAATAATTTCCAGTGTTTATGCAGTGGTTTATTTTTTCAAAGACAACAAAGCACCAGAAAAATCTTACTTTCCCCATATTTTCTTTATTCCTCTTGGGCTTCTTTTACTTTCTGGAGATAATGGAGACTGTGCACCTGAATCTGTTCCAGATGACAAGGGTGAAAGGTCTTCTGAAGTCACTGTACCATCCATGTTGTTAGAATCCCCTGAGATTTAAAAATGCCACTGAAATTATTTATAAAGAGCCAGTCCCTCTAATCTTTCCCCCTTTTTTCCCCACAGCCAGCTTCTGAAATCATTCCAGGTAATCTCAAATTTCACTGGACACTTGGGAAATAAAGATCCATATAGCTTCTCAAGTTTATAGATTGTTTTCATTAATATCTAAAAATATATCTCACTAAGGTGTACCATGTCATGTGTCAAAACAACAGCAAAAAACCAACAACCACCAGTTAACTGAGGAGTCCAAGAATTATAAAATGGACAGGTTTAGCATAAGATTGGTAAATCTGTCCATTTGCAATAGGACATATTTGGTGGGAGTTTGAATTATACTTAGATTCAGATAAAATTAACATGACTCTCAATGACTACTTCCAAAGTTAAAATGTGCTATGTATTCTCGAAGGCTTTCACAGCCGGGATCTGATGGTTGTTGTACGTTTTTCCAGCTATTTGGCTGTGTTCTGGAGGGTTTTTTCTTCTTCTTCCTAACATTTTGCTGGTCTCTGTGGCTAGCATCTTCAGAAGACAGGAGGTAGAACCCTGTCTGTGTTCTGGTGTAGTGTGTGAGATAGTTGAGTATCTGTAGCTGTGGGATCAACTTTTTCTCCTTTTTAGGAGACTGAGTGATTATGGTCATCAGGGTGTTTTTTGTTATGGGTGTGTTGTTTTGATGGGGGGGGGAAACCTACAACAACCATTGTTAAAATGTCTAAATTTCATTTTATTTCACAAAATGTTTTTTTTCCATTTCAGGATCTGAAATCAAAACTTAGATATTCCACTTTCTTTAATTCATATTTTCAATCAAGAGATTTTAAAAAAATCTAAATTAATTGCAGACATAAAAGCTGCATAGATGTACGGTACCTAATATTGGTGCACTGACACTTCTGATGCGATCTTCAATGATTCCAAGAACCAGAAAGCCAGATGAAGAAGCAAAGATGGCAGAAAATTCAAGCAAAACAAGTTACAGAAAAGCAAAGAAGGAAAACAGCCAAAGGCAGGGAATTTAAAAAAAATAAACAGGAAGCAAGGTAACAAAGCAGATGGAGTTTAGGGGCATGGCATCTACAGATTAAAGGTTTTACAATGACAGCAGTAAACTTTAAAACATAATTCAAAGTGTTGCCTTCTAGAAGGAAGCACTCTTAGGATAAAACTGTAAAGAACAACATAAAGCTGTTCTAATTCTTAATGTAATGTAAATAAATCTCAGTAAAATATTGTTATCCTTTTTTTAAAAAAAGAAACAACAATCTTCTTGATTTTCTAGGCTGAACTATCAGTTTTGTTTATGTAAGAAGGCCAGAGAGCTTTATAGTTCCCAGGATGGCCTGTGCATTTAAGAGTACTGCTTATTATTTCAAGAAGAACATGTCTTCAAGAGCGTTTCAAGAGAGAAATTAAATAACAAATGTGACTCTTAGCTTCCATGTCTGTAGCATTGTTCTTTTAGGAATCCCACTACTGATGCCATGGCCTGTTTACTGATACCATCAAGGTCTGTGCCATTCTGGTTGAAGTCCACCAGCCCAATCACAATCCTGAATTTGGGTTCAGGATCATCAAAAGCCACTGTGACAATGCTGCATTGAAACACAGCAGAACAATCACTCTGCAGACAGATGTGCAAGGTGCCAGGTACCTTGCACATCTGCATTCCAGGAAAAGCTCACCTTTTCTTTGTGCTCCAAGAACTTTCTCAAGTCACATTAGCCACTGGCTAACTCTATACTTGCCAACAGTGGCTATGGAACAGTGATAGTCATGCAGATAGAACACAATGCACATGGAATTTTAGCACCTCCAGTGATCATGTTTGGCAGTGGGAAGTAAAACACAGAGATGGAAGGTCTATACATGTCAATTGACCCTGATACTACTGATCAACATGTATGACTGGATGACCAAGCAGCTCACACCCCTGAAATCCAAGAATATGGGAAATCCACTTTTCGACCTTCCTGAAGCCATGTAGATAGAATCTAAGGATTTCCCTTTTAGTCATATGATTTTTTAATTCTTGGCAACATCATAACATATGCTATTAAATAACTATAACCAAAGACATGCTTTTAATTACACACACAGTTAGTTCATTCCTCTCCTTGCAGTACATACTTTGTATGCTGTTGTCCTCATTCCCATTCAGATAGCAAAGACTGGGAGAAGCAGGTGCATTGTATGTCCCATTATCTCCGTTGTGTGCTGGTCGAAGCAGTTTTCCTGGTAAAGTTTGGTACTTGCTGCTTTTTACATGTGGCTTATTCTATATAGTTTTTTTAAAAAAACAATAACACAAATATTATTTTTGTAGTTCTGTGAATTCATTTCAATCAGAAAGCGCAGTCATAACCTTTTCTTCTCTCAGAAATTAGTGTCTGGACCACCTTCTTTGATCACCAAGGGATGGAACAAATTACTTAGATAAATGAACAGCAGATGTTGGTTAGAAGATTCTGCAGTTGTTTGGGGCAACTAAGTAAGTAAGGCATAGAGGCAAAGTGGGTTTTATTTGAGGAAGAAGTGTAAAAACTATAAAACTGTAACACATAAGAATGACAAATGGTGTCACATGTAAAAAACCTGCATGCTGCTATCAGCATCCATGCCAATCTTTCTGTACAGGTCTATCTTTGTTATACTCTGTTTTGCATCAGTGCTATTCTTAGAGCAGTAAGTAACACTTTCTCTTTTGGAGTGCATGCCTAGCACAATGTTTCTGAAATGAAACACACCCCAGGTTGACAACTACCTCTGTCCCTTGCAGCTTTCTGCTTCTTATCAATTCCAATGTCTCATCATCTGCGGCTCTGTCCTTTTGACTGGTGAGTATGCCTTCTTGCTACTTCCAACAAATTTATCCTTCTATTGAGTGGAGGGCCAAGGGAAAATAAGTTTGTTTTTAGATACACGAACATTTGGCATGCCTTCATCATTTGCTCAACACTCAATCTGACAATTTGAAGAGGCACTTGTCCAGCAGGCTGAGGCAAAGAGGCAGTCCTGAAACCAGCCAAATCAGGGAGCTGGACAGGGGACAGACTGTTTGTATTCAGTGTGTAATGGATTGTCACTCTCGAATTGGCCTTCTCAGCCACACTAGATGCTGTTCCAAGACCTCTATTCACAGCACATTACCATAGTCTCTCGAGACTGAAGGATGCCTACACACAATTTGACACTCACCTCTCATCCCCACTCACTTTTAATGATGTGCCTTCACCCTCCTCTACTGAGCATGCCAGAACCTGAAACCTGAACTAGTTTGATGAAAGTACCAGTACATGAATACTCACAGAAACATATTCAAAGGGAAAAAAAGGAGAGAAACAAACAAGCACACCATAAAATAATGATTTTTGGAATGTAATTGTTAAAATGGAGTTAATATACCTCTTGCTCTATATCACGTTCTACTGGTTTCCCATCTACATGCTATGAAGTTGCAGGAAGGACAATTTCAAGTATGAGGGAGAGAAAGTAACAAACAAAATGTTAGTATAAACATGAAGTGACGCTTTTAGTTTGATGTCTAATTATGTTCTACAAGAACAACATAAGGTTTATTTTCTCCTCAGTATATTGTGTTATGTCACACTGACTTTAGAATGCATCTCTCATCTATTTTCAGTTCATAAATATAGGGTGAATATAAGTAAACTGAATTTGTATCAAAGAGTTCTATAGATGATATGCTGGATCCAAACAACTGCCAAAAGATTCTTGGACACAGAGTGAGGTCTGCAGCTTGGGAATACATCTGGACCCGGCGCTTACCATGGAAACCCAGGTGGCGTCCGTGGTCTACTCTGCCTATTTTTATCTACGGTTGATTGCCCAGCTGCGACCATATCTTGATCGGGCGCCCTCACTACTCTAGTCCATGCACTCGTAATCTCAAGATTAGACCATTGTAATGCACTCTACGTGGGGCTGCCTTTGAGGCTGACACGGAAACTTCAGATGGTCCAGAATGCGGTAGCCAGGCTACTTAGTGGGGTGAGAAAACACCAGCATATCTCCCCCACTCTGGCTGCTTTGCACTGGTTGCCCATCCGTTTCCGCATTGACTTCAAAGTGCTAATGATCACTTATAAATCCCTAAACGGTTTGGGACCTCAATATTTGGCAGACCGTCTTCTCCCACCCAGATCTATCCGAATCACTCGACATAGCCAGCAGGGGCGGCTGAGGGGTCTGACGCCGAGAGAGGCCCAGAAGGAAAAAACAAGAAACCGGGCCTTCTCGGCGGTGGCTCCTCGGCTGTGGAACACCCTTCCAACAGAAATTCGGCTGGCACCCTCGCTGGGTGTTTTTAAAAGCCAGTTAAAAACTTGGTTATTCAAGCAGGCCTTCCCTGCAGTCAATTAAGTCTTTCTCCTTTTTTCTTTCCTTTGCTATTCCATTTTGGTAATCCTCTCTTTAAATTAATTGTTTTAAATTGAAATTGTAATTGTAATTTTATGATTTTATATATTTTTATACTGTTCTGTTTTATTTTGTAAGCCGCCCCGAGTAGACATGGTCTAGAGGGGCGGGGTAAAAATCAAATCAATAAATCAATAAATCAATCAATAAATATACAACAGAGTTTTAATCACTCCCTCGAATAACTAATCCATACAGCAGAAACTGCTCAACAATTTGTTACTCCAGACTTATATTGAGCAGTGCTTAACACTAGAGGATTTTCAGTGCCTGGCTCGAATATAAACTGTTAGTGTGACAAAATAGCTTCTTTATCAAATATACAGATAGCCAGGATATTTATTCCATAAGAAGAAACTGAGCACACAAAGGAGAAAATAGACCTTTGGATTCCAGAATAACTGGAAAAATTAGTCTTTCATTCAGTTGCCATACAAACACAAAATGAAAAGTCAACAGAAAACATGCTGGAGAAACTATGGAAGGCATTCTGTTTTTGTAACCATACAATCTCTGAATGCCATTACACCAATACATTGCCTTCTACTTGACTCGATATCCACTATGTGCTAGTAGGAATGTATTGGTCCAAGTCCATTAGAGGCCATTAGTTTCCCTTTGTTCTAACTGACACATTAGGCAATAGATTGGATATATTTGTAGCACAGACCATTCCCATCTTTATTTTTGTTGATTTCAAATTTAGGAAGAGAAACATTTAAGAATTTTCTATATGGTGGCCTTCGCACATGCAAACACTTGAAACAGAAAAGATATTTCAACCAACCTTTTCCAGGGATTCACTTTGCAAGTCTTCAAGACTACTTGATATCTTTTTCTGAGATACTCTTAAAAGAATAAAGGCAGTAACACACATTTTACATGATGTAAATACATGTATATATTTTTTTAAAATCCACGCATAACTCTTAAGGAATATCTAGATCCAGTGCTGGAAACCTGTGACTCTCCAGGTGTTCCTGACTTACTATTCCCATACTCCGTACTCACATCCTCTGTCACTGACCAGAGTGGCTGGGACAGGCAGTAACTGGAGTTCAAAATCAGGAAAACCACAAGTTCACTAGTCCTGAATTAGAAGTAAGAATGTAAACTGGCATTTTCATCATCTATAAAGTTAAGGTTCAATTTCTAAATAATGAGGACACACAGTTAAAGCTCCTGCATAAGCATTCTGTCTCCGTTTAAAAGTATTTATCATGTACAGTGTGTGTATTTGCATAGCATTTGTTGATCTCATTTGCGATCAATAGTCTAGACCAGTGGTTCTTAACCTTTTTTAAAAGTAGTTATCATGTACAGTGTGTGTATCTGCATAGCATTTGTTGATCTCATTTGTGATCAATAGTCTAGGCAAGTTCCCCGCTGATATAGTCATGCTACATGCAAATAGGTCAGTAAGTGTGGTGTTCTTAGTTGTGATAGAATACATGCAAAATATTTTTAGTTATCATGTACAGTGTGTGTATCTGCATAGCATTTGTTGATCTCATTTGTGATCAATAGTCTAGGCAAGATCCCCGCTGATGTAGTCATGCTACATGCAAATAGGTCAGTAAGTGTGGTGTTCTTAGTTGTGATAGAATACATGCAAAATATTTTTATTATTAGGTATGTTCTCTGTGGCCCATCTATCACATAGAAAAATGGGAGTGAGCGCCATAAACATGCTGATTTCCTACAACTGCCTGCTTCCATGGGTATAGGAGAATCTTCCAACCCCCCTTTTTTTGTCCAAACACCAGACTCATAGCTCTAAAATGTTACTCGTTTGGACTGGACTCAAATTCCCAAAATCCACCAGCCACCCTGGCTACTGTTATTCTCAAGATAGAAATATTTATATACCCAGGTACCTTTCCATCTTAGGACAGAAATGATTTGCTTACCAAAAGGAAGCAGAATAGAGATGTAAATCACAGTAACTACTGTTGGACACTAAATAATTCCTTTCTCTTAACTTTCCCTCCCTTTCCCTTCCCTTCATGGATATCTGCCTTTCTCCCAGCAAATAACACTTAAGTAGTAAAAAAATCAAATAAAAACAAGTAAACAATTAAAACATTAATAATAGTAAAAATACAATTAATGATGCATCAATAATAACAAGATGATGCTCAGAAACCTATTACTCAATTACACTTGTATGAGGCAAATCATGGGAGTCTTAGTGTGGTGTCGTGGATAGAGTAACTGACTAGGACTTTTGGAGAGCAGGGTATGCATCTTGACTTGGCCATGGAAACTCCCTGGGGGCGTGGAACTGGTAAAACCACTCCTTAAATATCTCGCTTACTTTGAAAGTTCTATTAGGGTCACTATAAGTCAGTTCCAATTTGATAGCACAAGACACACAAGGAAAATCATGTAAGTTTTGATGGAAAATTGCTGCCGTGGTGGAGTGGATAAAACATTGGACTAAGGTTTGGGAGACCTAGATTCATATCTCTGCTTAGTCACATAAAATCATGCAATTTGGCTGGGTGGGTTGGCACTGGTAATACCAGTCCTTAGACATCTGACATACCTCAGAAACCCTACTAGGGTCACAATAAGTTCGATGTGACTTGATGCCACTTACCATCACCCTGAGGTGCTGGATGCTTTCCTGGGCATGTGCTACTGCATATCAGTTGTGTGCCCAGGAATACAACAAGAGTCTCATTGTTAAGCAGCAATTTGCCACCAAGACGTGGGCAATTTCCATTGCACAAGCATGAATTGAAAGTCCAAGAACTCAGCAGTGCTGCTGAGGACAGGGCATTCTGGAGATCACTCATAGGGTCGCCATATATTGGAGGCAACTTTCAGTATCTAACAACAACAACAACAACAGGATTGTGAACACTATTTTTCATCCAGTCAAAGCTCTCCTCAGTAGCAACTCAGCTTAGAGGCTAGTCTGAAGAAGGGCAACAGAGAGAGGAGCACCTAACTGCTTTTGGCAGAGAGCTTCAGAGTCTGGCATGGGCAGTTTTTGGCTTCTCTGATGGCATCCTTTGTGCAAAAATCTCATTGACTTGAAGTGAATAATGAAACATGAATACAGAGAAATGCTCTGAGTGCACTCTAATTACCAGGGTCCAGACTGTAAATTGTTCAGCTGGTTTTCTGCGGGAGTGGGGAGTTGATGAGCAAATCACAAATCATTTGTATTTTCAAAAAATACTTTGAATATTTTAACTGAGAACGCTTCACATATATTCTGCGTTCGCAGTTCTAAGCTTTCTCCATTTGTTGAAAATAGCTTATTTGGTGGGACTGGAGAGCTTCCACTAAGGGTAAGAAGACATAGATTTTAAAGGAATTGTCTTTTGGACACATTCTAATGAAAACATCCTCCCATTCCTCACCCTGTCTGACCACATACTGTTACCACAAAAACTATTTTTGAGTGGACTGGGTGTGGGTGTGGGAAAAAAAGAAAAAAAAATTACATAGTAAGAACAGAACTTTGAGCAGTCATAATTTAATAGCAACCCTCCTCCACACACACAAGGGTATTAGATATTCTTGCCTGTTTTCGAGTGCTTTCTGTGGAAGAGGAGGCGGTAACATAGGTGTGGTCAATTCTCGTGGAAGTACCTGTGTAGAAGTAATAAAAGTGGGTTTGCTTCTACTGAAAAACAAAACATCTCCCATGTAAACAGAGAAAAGGAAGAAACAACCAACCAACCTCTGGCTTGTATATTTCTATTTGGCCCTTATTCATGGGATTCCATTTTCTTAAAGTTGCCTCAAAGTCATCTTCAGTGCTACCAGACAAAACTCTTTCTGAGGTTCCTGAAAATATTTAAATTTAAAATTTTCTGTTAAAGAACTTTTAGAAGTGCCACTATTACTCAATGACCAAAATCCTGTTTCTTAGCATAGTAAGTCGCAACTAGAATAAGTCCATTTCCATTGAATCATTGGGAATTTAAAAGTACACCCATTGAAATCAATGGACCTTACAGAGTTTACTCAGCAAATCCCCAATGAGTCAATAGGCCTACTCTAGTGTAAACTACTACACTAGGTAAAAGGATTTCAGCCTATATATATATATTTCTTTGGCAGTTAAAACTGAGTTAAAACTTAGGAGCTGAAGAATACATAAGCATAATGGTGAATCTACAGCTTTTGATATAAAACTGATAAATGTAAGATTAGATATTTAAAGTAATTTACCCTCCATTTGTTAACAAAATAATAATTAAATAAAATACCTATGGATATAACAGTAATATTGGTTACTGGATGAATTTGAGTAACTAACAAATTAACCCAGTAACCACTACCGGGGGGGGGGGGGAATACCTTTGTTATTACATTCTCTTTCTTTGTTCTAAGAATCTGAATACAAAATATTTCCAATCACAGCAACATAGGAAAGAAACCTAGCTATTCAGTACTGGTTAGGCTGCATTCTGAGTACTGTGTTCTGTTTTGCATGTCAACAAACTGGAGCACGTTCAGAGCAGAGCAACAGGGATGATCAGGAGACTGGAGATCAGGCCCTAAGACTGAAAGAGCTATTTTATGTTTAGCCCTGAGTAAAGAAGACCAAAGGGAGAAATGATTGCACTTTTCAAATACTTGAAAGACTGTCATCCAGAGGAGGGACAGGATCTGTTCTTGATTATCCCAGAGTACAGGGCACTTAATAATGGGCTCAGATTACAGGAAGCTAGATGTTAGTTGAATATGAGGAAAACGTTCCTAACTGTTAGAGTAGCACAACAATGGAAGCAATTACCTTGGGAGGTGGTGAGTGCTCCAATGCTGGAGGCATTTAAGAGAAAATTAGACAACCATCTGTCAGATCTGCTTTGATTTGGATTCTTGCACTAAGCAGGAGATTGGACTCACTGGCCTTATGGGCTCCCCACCAACTCAATTATTCTATTATTCTACAAGGAAAATCTTTGTTATTTCTGGGGATGCCCTTCTCTCGGTTCTACCACCTTCCCAAACTTGTTTGGTGAGGACATGAGGGAGAGTCTTTTCAGTGGCAGCTCTTAAGCTTTTGAATGCCTTACCCAGAGAAGCCAGGTTTGGTTCCCTTCCTTTTGTACTTCCCTTGTCAGGCAAAGACCTTCAGCTTTCAAGCAATCAACAAGGCTCTAGGGCAGGCTTGTCCAACCTTGGCCCTCCAGATGCTCTTAGACTACAGCTCCCAGAAGCCTTCACCCCCACC